AACCCAATACAGAACATCAAGGCTACCTGTACACTTAATTCCAAGAAACCTAAAGACAGAAACCATAAAGCTGTAACAACTTCCAAGCCAAAAAAATCACGAATTTGTCAAATTGTATAACTAGATCTCAGTAATGTCCTATATGATAACATCTGCATTTGAATGAAAATATCAGAATGGTTACTTTGTAGTTAATTAAATGATCCAGCGTTTATAAAATAAATATTTGCTGGGTTTTATGAAATTCCTTAAATATAAGCAAAACTAAAAAAGGCAGACAATTCTGTGTTTAGCCATATCTGAAAGATATGGGACATATCAGAGCTGATTTCTCAAAACAGTTGTTCACCAAGACAGAGGAGGCCTGCTGTATCATATAGCCTATATAACTGACAGAGAACCAAATATCAACAATATAAGATATGAAACTCAGCCAGCCTTTAAGGAGGCTGAGACTCAAGGAAGATGAATTTTAATTGGATATATATGCTAAAAGATAGCAAGTGTGAATATACATATCAAGACTGTAACTTGGGTAATTTAAAGGGTTACTCCAACCACCATGACCACTTAAAAGCATTTAAAAGTGGTCATGTTAGTAGGAATCTGTAAGTGTAGCATTTCTGCTTAAAACGCTGTGTGTTAGTGTGGGGCTACTTGCTCCCCTCGCTCATGTGCTGTAGGCAGCCCAGAACTCTTTTCTGGGTTACCTAATGTCATGCAAAAAAATTTTTTTTTTAAACTTTATAATGGTGGGGGGACCTAATTAGCAATGCCCATGGTATAGTAAATAAAGAAAAGGGTATACTTAGAAAGTTTGTATAAACCCTTTAAATTTTGCAGGAAAAAAAAAATGCCAAAACCTCCAACAAACTACTGAATGACCAGAGAGACCAGTTAAACGTTATTTAAAACGTTGCCCATCTGCTAAACACATACAGTATAGCCTTATATGGGACGCAGAGCATTCACAATGTTGTGTAATAAATAAAACAACTTTTTATATTAATAGTGGAGGGCTATCAATATAATAACGGGGTGGACTTAATGTTTTCCACAGCCTCCACCCATGGTAGAGGCTATAATAAAAAATAGACCGTGAGCTTATTGTTCCCCCAGCCACCACCAATATTTTAATGCTATGTTCAATATTGATTTTATAGATTACAAAGTTATATGATTCAATGCAATATTTTGCAATTCCGGATAAGGCTTTTATCAGCATTAACGTAATCTATTTGAACCAATTAAAATTTTATCGGGAGCCAAAAAACATTATCAGCTGGATTGTAATCAAGGCCAAAGTTAGCGAGATGAAGACTCAATGAGCTGTTATACCTGGAGGGTATTATTCTATTAATGTTTCTATTAATTATTTTAAATGTTTCATAGGAGAAGAGTGACATAACTGGATGCAGAAAATAGATTTGGCAGTGAATCAGAGACCAAGAAAAGACTAAGCATTTCTGAGGTGTACCAGTGGGTGAACAACATGTGGGAAAAAGTGAGAAGTCATAGAGATGTAGAGGCATTCAAACACCTTAGCATAAGTAATAAGATGAATGGTACTGAAGAAAGTAATGGTTTAAGTGAAAATAAATGGATTCGATTAACATTATCAGCAAAGAGGATGAAAACGTTGCAAGATTTGATGATTCATAAGCTGAAGTTTATCATAATAATAGTACTGGTTGTTTTATGTTTTACTTTAAACTTCTAGTTGAAATATAAGGGTGCATCTACCAGGCATACATATAGTGCCATCTTGTGGTAGAAGAGATAAAATCTCAGGGTTGTGTACTAAAGTGTGAACAATTGTGGTTTTAAAGTCAATCCCAAATTTTATGTAAAAATAACAAAACTGGAAAAAAAAGTTATTTTAAAAATTTGGTAATTTTGGCCTAGTATTTAGCATTGTACTTTGTACTTTCAGCAATTTACCCTCTACATTCCTTCAGCTGCTATTTTTCCTGGATGATGTACCTCGATCCCGTGTAAAACTGACACTCTAATACTTATTAAACCAAATACTCCTATTAATGAGCTACATTTTTATACAGGCCTATGCTATTGCATCAGGTTACTGTCATTTCTGCACTGTTCAAAAGAAGACACCAATATTAAACATATAAAACAGCGCAAAGGTCACTCGTTTACACTAGTTTAGGGTCACAATGATGCGACCTGGCAAAGATTATGTTGCATCGAATTTGTCCAGACCGAGGCGGAATTGATCTAAGTGCATCAATATGGAGCGATTACCAACAGACTGGGAATTTTGCTGGATTTAGGCAGTTTCAGTATTACAGCAAGTGGGAACAGACTGTGAACATGTCTGGATTGACACCTCTGCATCAAATTTGGTAAAGATTGAATATGAGTTAACAACTATTTAGAATACCCTGAAAAGTATTTAAGACCAAACTAGGTAATGGATTAGGGGATCTTAAACTACAAATTGAAGCCCACAAATGGGCTAAATTTTAGGTAGTACTCAAAAGAATTCTTTACAAAAAGTGTACCCCTTATCGCACCTGGTCTGGAACTTCAATACCACCATAATAGAGGCTACTTAAACATCATCTAACTCTAAGGCAACACAGTAGGCAACACATGAAACTAGTCTAGGATAATGAATCTAGAGAACCCTCTCATTGAAAAAGTTACCATCTTATCTCAAGGATATCCAACAAACATTATCTGTACTTTCTCACATCAAAGTACTGGAAAAAGTACATCTTGAAACTACAATGATTGATACCACACTTTATCAGAAAGCCAGTTCTTTAAATTGGTTGATATAATGGGATAGCTTTCATCCTCACTCACTTAGATGTAAGATACTAGTAAGCCAATACTTAGATCTAAGTAGACATTACACAATGAAGATTTTGAACGAGAAGAAACAATCTTGAGAAAACAGTTTAAAGCTTACTGAGCGGGCCTAAGATGGCTGCCTCACCCTTTTCAATGCTCCTATATCTCTCTAGCTAATAACTTAAAACAGGAAGTCTGACAAAAGACACTAATTCTACTTCTTTTCATTTGTCTCCTTGCTAGGATTAACAACTCTTCCATTTGCCTCATTTCCTGGTACTGCCCACCCCACTGCTCCAGGAGCCTACTACACGATATCCTGTCTGCAGACAGCCTCAGGACCTGCAGTACCTCTCTCTGCAACCCGCCTCCCCCCCCCCCGCTCATCCCCCTGACTGTGCTTAGAGTAATATTTTTGGTAAGCCGTAGAAGGTTGCCATTTTAGGGTGAAGATTGCTCATCACCGGATAGCAACCCTCCTCTGTGTCCTTCATCTAAAATTCCTTTATACTCCTGAAAGAAATCATTTGTAGGGCCTGATTTCAAAATTCTGTAGATATTATTATTGTCCAATACCCAATAAACCATACTGACGTAGCTAGCTGTAACGGGTATCCTATACTCCGACTGAGTATATCCATTTTAAATCTCCCGGTTCCCAAGTTGAAGCTGTGATTATAGCTCAGGTATTAGGGATGCGCATGGGTAAAAAATTTGGTTAGGAAATTCGGGAAAGTAAAAAGAATTTGCTTTGGTGTCACGTATCCTGCGTCTCCAGGTGACAAACACGGATATAATTACCTTCCTAAGACGAGTGTTGCTCGGCGGTCCTCTGCAATGATTCCTAGCATGACGATGGACGCCGACCGCTGTGGATCCACACTTTTATACTGCCCCACGTCCGTCCACGGTAAAGATGACGTTGACATGCGGGTGATTTCACGCAAAAGACGCACACGCACGTTTTAGGTTCAAAGGCTAGGTACGGCCAATCAGATCTGCAAGCGGGTTATTTAAACTCACTTATTCCTTAAGCTCATTGCCCTGTTTTGGTTTCCCTTATATTGTTATGGTGGGGAACTCCTCGGCGTCCTTTTAAGTATGTTTAGGGGAATTCCTCGGCGTCCTTTTAAGTACTTAAATTGACGCAGGGGAGTTCCCCTGAACATGCCAACTGAGGAAGCCTCTGCCATAGGGCGAAATGCATTTTGGACTGATTAGCCATTGAGCAGTATCTTCAAAAGGTTGAGAAGTCATATTTTGGACTTTTTTATTATACCATTTTATTTTTAACACACAGTGCACTTTATTTACCTTTTAATAAAGCTTTGTTGGAGAAAGGAGCTTGCACATCTCATCTTTATCCAAAAGCTGCTAAGGTTACCTAAGACCAGCAAGAAGAAGGATGGGGACATCCTATTAAGAGCCCCTCTGTGCTGTTCATGAGAGCCATATGCTAATTTGGCTCCAGGCTTGTGAGTACTTCACATTCACCATACTATTATACCAGTTTATTTGCCAATACTGTACCATGTTATTTTGCTTTGTTTTATAGATACATCAGACGTGTCCCACCTATTGTATGTATTTTAGGCTAGTATTCTGGTTATTCTCTGGTACGTTAAGTCCGGCCATTCTAAGGTCCTGTTAGATGTTATCCTTAGTCCTAGGTGTGACACTATTCTGCGCTGGATCAACTGTAATCCTGACATTCGGGAATTCGGACCAATGGCATTCAGTGCGATTTGCACTTCTGAATTACCGAACTTCAGCAATTCAGAACTTTGTAAGCATCCGAATGTCCGAATTGCATGAAACAAATTACTCGTCTAGTAAGTGGTTGTGGTGGAAATCCTGGGCAACGCTAACCACTTGCACATCTGTAGGGCTCCCAGTGCCCGGACTGCCACCACAACCACTTACACATATATAGGGCTCTGAGTACCAGGAATTATTGGTCAAGATTCCTGTCAGCATTTACGTAATATTCCCTCCCTCTCTCTTGTTTTGCCACTTTTCAGAAATCCGAAGCACTTTGGAACGTCGGCAATTCTGTTCAGTACAGCACTTCGGACATTCATAAGCATCCGATTGTCCGAATTGCACGAAATTTTGTCTGAATGTACATTCGGACCGAAATGAATTGCACATGTCTATCAGGTATACCCAAACATCAGCCAAGACTTGATGATGGGTACAAGAGGAATGTTTTATTATGCCAAGTGGCCAGATTATATTCAGCATGGGATCTACATTCACTTGTACAGTAAGCCCGCCCAGGCGCCTTTGTGACTGGGAGACAAGAGAGCTAACGTTTGCTTAATCTAATTATCTCCCACTAGAAGTACAAAATATTATACAAAATCCTCAAAATATACATAACACATATATGAACCCCCACAAGCATTATATCCTCGGATATCCTGGATTTGAAATAGTGGTAGCGGTCGGTCACTTGCGGGAGTTCAGAAACTAATAAAATGTCGAACAGTTCCCCTGGCACATAGGTAGTGATTGTTCGCCAAGTTCGTGCAAACAATCCTACCGAACAGCGCTCTCCTGTCATGTCGGAAAAAGAAGCAGGCGTAGACGCAGGATCACCGTGATTCACACGAGGATGTATCCGACTTTGAGTTCCATATGCTCGACGACCAAATGCCGCTGCCTGCGTTTGTGCGACAAGATGGCGTTTTGCACTGCACATGTTCAGTTATATGAACGGCAGCCACACAGGGAGAGCACTTGAGTTTGTGGTTATTTTATGATCTGTGTTTGGTAGATTGCAGCTCCCAAACTGGGGAAACGTGAATGGGGTTCGGGGAACGTAAGATACGAAATAGAAGGGAAATGTCTTCAACACAGGGAAAATAGTGAGTTTGTCACATTAGCAATGTACACAATGACTGTTGCCCCCCTAATCAGCCGGTTTCACAATAATCTCAACCTTCTTCTTCAATTATTCTAAAGCTTGTTGTTCTTTTTTGGTCAGATTGCTGTTAGGTTGGATGTCAAGTTCTTTTACATTCACCCTTTAAATCTCACTTTCAACTGCTTCTAGAAAAAGTTAAATATTGCAAAAATTACACATATAAGGTGTAAATTTGCTATTTGGTTTGAAGTCGGAATGGTTCAAAGGCCTCAGACCTTTATTCTCATCCAGAAGATCCAACAGTGTCTGCAAACTCATTATCACCATATGACAGGCCACAGGGCTTGTGTTTCCTCTCAATTCGAAGTTGATGAAATTTGTGCTTCGACTTCCAGGCAAAGAGATGCCATACAAATTTGTTAAAAACAGGGAATGACACTAAAGACCTTTCTCTAAAACTTTTAATTGGTGTATATCAATGTAGATAGAGTAATCACTCTGAATAGTCTGACAATTTCCATTTGAACAGTCTCTAAATTTTTTCTCTTTCTCCCTCTCCCCTTTATGTTGCGAAATGTATACCTCATCCTGCAACCTGGGCTTTCCTCCTGGGTTCCCAAATTTAAAAAAATAACTAACTTTTTTGAGAATACTGCAAGTATTAGTAGAATTTTGAGCCTGCAAAGAGGAAGCTGAGGTTGTGTTTGTACTTTCTCCTTATCATTATCTAAAGGTCTCAAGACGTTATCGGCGTCCTTGGACCACACATTGAAAACGGGTTTTGTTGATAGAAATCTTGCAATATTGGCTAAACTTGGAAAAACACTCTGGTATTAAAACGTTTCAAAAAGCCTCAGAAAATAATACTAAAGCTCAGAGTTGGTTGGTAGGCCATCTCAAGGGCATAACCGTAAATATATTTGACAACTATTAAACTCAGGCTCCACTCAGGGACCTGACTTTATAAGAGATATTACTTTTTAATATTACTTTGTATCAGACAAATTGAGAATATACATTTACCCTCAACTGAAACTATAATTCTAATATTATTAAATTTTTTGTCTTAAAGTTTGGAGTAAATAATTTGAAACTGGATTTATCCAACTCTACTTCCTAGGAGATTTGTGGGTAGTTTACATATATTTTTGGATGCTTGGGGTGCATAAAGTTTATTTTCTCTTTGACTAAGATCTCTTTCTAATGAGAAGTATAAGAACATTTGCTTATACTTAAATAAACTATCCCTTTACACTCTGGAGTTGTTTTAGTTTGTTAAAACATTTCCTATGGTATTTACTTAACCTCCACTCTAATGGTAGCTAAATTATATATGAACCAATATGCCAATATTCTCTTTAGAATTATTTAACCTTATGTACATTAGTGCGGCAGATATAGGTCGTTAACCTTTTTGAGGTTTTATGCCACAAGTGTAAGTTGAGAGATTTCTGTGATTATCGGTTAATTGACAACTAATTCTAAATATACATTACACTTCCACACGTTTTTCACTTAGGTATACCTATTTACTGCCAGATAGAAGAGACTCTGGTTTGGGAAGTACCAGCTGCGATCCCCGGATCCAAAAAGCGCAAGGAACCTCACCATCACACTTATTTGAACCCTTGTGTGTATATTTTTCTTTATGTAAATCCTTATATTTTGTCTTTGATTTATGTGAATTAGAGATTTTAAGCCATAAAATAAATGTTATGTTTTATTAGGGCTACCTCTTATGAAGCCAGGTCACTGAGTGGAGCCTGACTTTATAAGTTGACAAATATATTTTGGGTTATGCTCTTGAGACGGCCTATCAACCAACTCTGACCTTTAGTATTATTTTCTGATGCTTTTTGAAAATGTTTTAATAACTTGAAGATCAGAGTGTTTTTCCAAATTTAGCCATTGTGGATTTCTATCAACAAAACTTGTTTTATTCCTAGATTTTTAAAGCGGATATGCCGCCCACTAGGGACAACTCTATGATATTGATGGTGGTAGATCAATTCAGCAAAGTGGCCTATTTTATACTCCTAGCCAATCTTCCCATCTCAGCCAAGCTACACAAAATATCTGCGTGAGGTATTCCAGTTACATGGCATTCCCTAAGTCATAGTCTCTGAGAGAGGCTTTTAGATTGTTTGTAAATTTTGGAGGGACTTCTCTGTCACCCTATCACTGGTAAACTAATACTACCACCAAGCGTGCTAAACAGGTCTTAAAACAATATCTGCGCTGCTTTGTCTCTGAACGTCAGGAAAACTAAGCTGTCCTGCTTCTTGGGCTGAATTTGCTCACAACAATGCATCCCATACATCTGCCGATTGTATGTTTATTACAGCTACCATCTTGCAATCCTTCTGGCCTCCTTTGCCAACAAAGATGACTACGTTAGATTTGCATTAAGCCAACTAGCAGAGGGCCTGAGGGCAGAACCTGGCCACCATGAGAGAAAACGCTATGCTCCAAAAGAAGCATGCTGACAGACATCGTACGGCACCTCCCTTGTATCAAGTGGGTGATACGGTCTGGCTCTCTACCCAAAACATACATCTCAGCATCAGCTGGAAAATATAGCACCCCATTACATAGGCCCTAATAACACATTATATAATAAGGCCCTAATAAGATCTTGGATCTGACACTCAGGCAGTTTGTAACTTTAACCATTACACTGTTTTGTCATTTGTTCTCACATTGTGCACATATACTAAAGTAGCGATTTACATTAGCTTATTGCTTCCTTTTATCCTGTCTCTTTAGCAGTTAGCTGCAAAGGCAGTTAGGGTGGTTCAGTAGGGTTACCAGGGTGTTTCCTCTGCTAGCTGAAGTAAATCTTATGTTTCTCTTTTATTTTCCCTGTCTGTATGCACCAAGTATTAAGAGTTATTGGGCTTCAGACACCTCAAATGGGCTCATTTGCTTGACTCGGCTGTGTTTATTTAATTGGAATGTTGTATGTTATTTAGCTATTCTTTCTCTGAGGAGGTATATATAGACCTGTTGGAGACTTTACAATTATTGATTTATTTTACCTGTTACTGCCAACTAATCTAACATACATACAGTGGCGTACACATGACCCATGGGGCCCTGGTGCGAAAATTGATCCGTGGCCCCCCCCCCCCGTGCGCGGGCCGGACCGCAACACATGGCGGTGAGCACCTGGTCGCAGGGGTTACAGGGCTGCGACCCTTGCGACCGCGGCATGCACACACACTTAAAGGACCACTACAGACACCCAGATCATATCAGCTCAATGAAGTTGTCTGGGTGTCAGGTCCCTCTATTTTTAACCCTGCAGCTGAAAACATAGCAGTTTCAGAGAAACTGCTATGTTTCACTGAGGGTTAATCCAGCCTCTAGTGGCTGTCTTACTGACAGCCGCTAGAGGAGCACACTGAACGTCCATAGGAAAGCATTGAGTAATGCTTTCATATGGGCGGTTTGAATGCGTGCGCGGTCGCATTCGGAGCTGAGAGGCTGAGGGATCCCCAGCGCCAAGGGAGTCCGGCGCTGGAGAAAGGTAAGTGCTGAAGACACACACACTCTCACTTACAGACGCATACACACTAGCTAACAGACACACATTTACTGACAGAGACACACTCAGCGACAGACATACATTCACACTCACTTACAAAACATACACTCTCATTGACAAACACACACTCACTAACAGACATCAAACAGACTCACTAACACACACACTCAGTAAGACACACACACTAACACTCACACTCATTAACACTCACACTCACTCTAACACTCACACACACTCTAACACTCACACATGTTTTTTTTAAATGTAATCCCCCCAGCCTCCTTACCTTTTGGAGTGCTGGGGGGATTCCCTGGGGTCCAGTGATGGTGCTGAGCTCCTGGGCGGGTGGCCGGTCGCGCGAGGGAACACTCAGTGCTTCCTCTTCAGCTCCCTCGCGCGCCGCGTAGGGATGCCGGCGCCGGAAGATGACGTCATCTTCCGGCTCCGGTATCAGTGCGGTGCGCGAGGGAGCTGAAGAGAAAGTACTGAGTGTTCCCTCACGCGCCCGCCTGCCCGACCGGCCACCCGCCCAGGAGTGTGTGTGTGACAGCAGGGCCAGCCTCGGGGGGCCCTGAGGTGGCCGGCCCCTGGGCCCCCCAGGGGAAGAGGCTGGCCCTGTGGGTACATACCGGGTCGCAGGGGCGGCCGGGCCCCCTGCGACCCTGGTATGTACGCCACTGCATACATATATATATATAACAATAAAGTGTGGTGTGCTTATTAAAGGGACACACTGGCCATCAATACAACTTTAATGAATTTGATAGATTTTGGCCTCATTAATATGCTTTATTTTAAATTACATGTTGTGCATGCTCAAATCTTTATAGTTTTTGCACAAAGTAAATAAATGTTTCACAGAATTCTATAACATAAGCCTGCCTCCTTGACCACTGTATATAAATTACGCCAAAATCTATCAAATACACTAAGGTAGTGTTGGTGTCTGGAGTGTCCCTTTAAGTAGGTCTTTCTTTGACCAATTTTATGGTTTTCTAGTTAGACTTGTATTTAGACAGGCTAATTCATTATCACGTGGGAGGTCATCGTTATAAATTGTGTTACTTTTGTTTTATACAAGGAAACATGACTATCTTTATTTACCAGGTTGGATTAGCCACTTTATGATATTTTGGCAAGGGTCATTATTTACACGAAATAGGAAGAACAAACCATTGAAATATACATATCGATGGTGGAACGTACGATCACCGCCAGTGTAACGCAAACTTCATAGTCATGCGCCACTGGAAAACGGCGCACCAGAAGTGAAAATACGAAATGAGCTTCAGACTGACCTTGAATTAGAAAACGTGACAGGAACAGCTGAGAAACACAAGCAAACACCTCCTGGACCACCAATAAGAAGACACAAGAGCCATATATAAGGAGAGACTCAGGGGGAGGGTGGTATACTGCTTTCTGCATTGTGATTGTTTTATTTGATTTGTCACTTTGCTGGTTATTTTAGCTTTATTTTATTTGTTGCTAAAATCATTTGGAGAGTCCCTGAGGAAGTTCTTTGGGGTGAAATATGTAGGACTCCTAGCAACTAATTTTGTTTTTTGCTTTTATATACACTTTATATAATAAACAGTAGTCTTTTTTTCACCTGACATCTGAGTCCGGCTCTCCATACTCGCAGCGTGACTGCTAGGCGTTTTGGATTAGCCCCCCACAAACATCGGGGGAGGCACGCTTCTGCGATTTATTCTACATTATCTTGTGAGTGCAATTTATGCTTGCGCTTTTTTATTCATGTAATACAGTGTTGCGCTATATATGTTTCTTTGTGTTTCCTTATCTTATTTGTAGATCTACAGCCATATTCTCCATTACTTTTCCTGCTTTTCTACCATATAGAAAGCAATATAGTCTGGGATATTCCTGGAAAAGGCTACTATCACTATCTATTAAGATAAGTGTTTTGTCCATCACACTATTTATTTTGTTTATGTTGGATGTGTTTGTTTGTTTAACATACCTATCAGCTAATTGATATACATGAGCAAATGGCTGCATCATGTCCAACTGGGATGAAGATACAGACAAAACTAATATTGCGGAGATTCACCTCAGCGCTCTCTAACAAGGTAGGTATCAGGTTGAAGACTATACTGCACAGTTTAGAATGTTTAGATTGGACTCTGACACTAAGTGGAATTCTGCTGCATTCAGAAATCAGCCAGTTTACTAGCCAGTATATTTGTTTTTTTTCCATATGGGAATTGCTTTCTACAGGAATACCTGACTTGCCTCAATACTTGGATAAATCCACATTTTCTGTTACTTTCTTACATATGAACAATCTACCATGAAATTTGTTTATTTTCTTACTACTAACTGGCTAATTGATTTACAAGGTGAAGCAGCCTATTTTATTTAGCAAGGGCGGCTTCCTTTTTTTATTGTTCAAAATCAGATTCTGATTCAGACTAATTTAAAATAGACTGTTTTATCTCATTTTTGCCAATAAAAGTTTCTGCAATTTGATGTACTATTTTCCTGCTTGATCTGTAAGGAACAGGAGTGAATATGACTCATTATCCTTTAATGAGTAAACCAACTTAAAAGGAACAGTCCAAGCAACATAATCACTACAATACAACTTATCTAATAAAAGTTTAGTTGAAACTATTTTTATTGAAGCTAACAGGGTGTATAACCAAGACATGTATACGTGTTTGAGGCAAATGATACATACAACAGTTTTGGAGAAGCTCAAGATTCTTTTTTTAACCCCTTAAGGACTGGACTGTTTTTGCGATGTTGTACATTTGCGACCAGGCATATTTTTACACTTTTGTGGTGTTTGTGTTTGGCTGTAATTTTCCGCTTTCTCATTTACTGTTCCCATACAAATTATATATTGTTTTTTCAGGACAAAAGGGGCTTTCTTTACATACCATTATTTATATAAACTCATGTATTTTAATTTAAAAAAAATAAAAAAATATGATGAAAAATTGAAAAAAATACATGTTTTTTACTTTACTTGAAAAATCTTTTACTCATCTACAAAAGCGAATGAAAAAAACTGCTAAATAGATTCAAAATTTTGTCCTGAGTTTAAAAATACCCAGTGTTTACGTGCTTTTTTGCATGTTATAGGGCTATAGGTACAAGTAGGATATTGCGGTTTCAAAACATAAATTTTTAAAATTTATCAATAGTGACATTGTAACACTATTATCTGTCATAAATCTCTGAATAACACCCCACATGTACATATTTTTTTTAAAGTAGACAACCCAGGGTATTCAATATGGGGTATGTCCAGTCTGTTTTAGTCTTCACTTAGTCGAAAACACTGGCCAAAGTAAGCATTCATATTTGTTTGTGTGTGAAAAAAGTAAAAAAAACTAAATTGAACGCTAATTTTGGCCAGTGTTTGTGACCAAGTGGTTACTAAAAAAGACTGGACATACCCCATTTGCAATACCTTGGGGTTGTCTTCTTTTGCAAATGGTATGCCATCATGGGGGTAATTCTCATTCCTGGGCTACCATACGCTCTCAAAGGCAACGTGACCAACCTGGCCATTTTCAATGTAAAATATTTGACCCATATATTTGACCTTGTAACTTTCAAAAATGCTATAAAACCTGTACATGGGGGGTACTGTTTTACTCGGGAGACATCGCTGAACACAAATATTAGTGTTTAAAAACTGGAAAACGTATCACAACAATTATATCATCAGTAAAAGTGCTGTTTGTGTGTGAAAAATGCAAAAAGTCACTTTCACTGACAATATCATCGCTGTGATATGTTTTACTGTTTTGAATCACTAATATTTGTGTTCAGCGAAGTCTCCCGAGTAAAACAGTACCCCCCATGTACAGGTTTTAGGGTGTCGTAGAACGTTACAGGGTAAAATACAGTGCTAGCAAATTAAATTCTCTGGAATTTCGGCCTGGGTTGGCAGGCAGGTCCCTCAAATTGCAATCAATAAAATTATTGAATTATGTAAAAATATTACATAAATACGCACGTAGAATTTAAACATATATGCATATTTATATATTTGAAGTCTATGTGTATATTTATATAATTATGTAATTTTGTATATGGACGTATGAATATTTCTTATTATTTTTATATACATAGATATATATACAAATTCATTCTAAGTGTATTTTGATATAAATATATATATATTAATTTTAAAATACAGTTAGAATAAAATTTCATATAGCTATATAATTTTTTTTAAATTTTTTATTATTATTTAAAAAATTTTTTATTTAATTTAAATTATTTATTATTTATATTTTATAATAATATATATATACAATATATATAGTTATTATATATATTATATATACACGTGTGTAATTTAATTATAAGTGTATTTTTATATTAATATAAGTACATATTAATATAAAAATACACTTAGTATGGCATTATATATATGATATATAGACATATTATATAGATATAATATATGTCTATATATCATATATACACATATAATTATTATTATTTTTTTTTTTTATTAACACTAACTATTTTTTTTTTACTGATTTTACACTAGCAGGGAGACTGTCTGTCAGCACAGGCAGTCCCCCTGCAGGCAGACACATGGACACCTATTGTGACCATGTGATCGCTGTGTTAAGCGATCACATGGCCGCAGGGGTCCTAATCCACCACGGGTCATCGGTCGGCAACGCAAAAATGCCGATGACGGTCCTGAACCATCCTCGGTCATGAAGGGGTTAACAAAATTTCTCAAAACACCATCATCCTCCCAACAAACTCCTATGATTCATATAAATTAAAATGAATAATTTAATATCTTTTTAATGGGACACTATAGTCACACAGACCACTTCAGCTCAATGAAGTGGTCTGGGTGCCAGGTCCCTCAGGTTTTAACTCTTCACATGTAAACATCAGAGAAACTGCTATGTTTACATAGCAGGGTTAATCCAACCTCTAGTGACTGTCTTCCTGACAGCGGCTAGAGGTGCTTCTGCAACACTGGATGCAAAATTAGTGATTATTCTAGCTTTAGTGACTGAATAATCTAAATTTTATTAACGACAGGAGGCAAATATTTGCTTATCTTTCTTTACTCAACCTCCCAGCAGCAAAGAAATAGTTAACAATGATGTAAAACATTTAACCAATCAGTATACAAGCATAGAATATAGTGTCCTTAAGCTCCTCCCAAATCCTCTTTCTTTCTGTAGCCGAACGTGGTGTAGATCAACCGTGTAAACAATTAACGTTAAGAACTATGGACAAACAGAAACCATGTAAACAAAACTGTGCACTGCTGGATTCTTCACACTAGAAGGGAATAGAGAAGGATTATGAAAGTATGGGTTCTTGTACCAGAGAACAGTTTACCGATCTCCTAAGGTGTACCTTGAATCGGGATAGTTCATACAGATTGTCATAATTGAAGGTGTAATCGTTTGATGTAACCAGTGTGTAAACCTATGTCATATGATGTGAATATGTCTTATGGAGATGCATGGTTTAGTGTAGTCAAACTTACCTCGAAGGGTGGGAAAATATTTGCCTCCTGTCGTTAATAAAATTTAGATTATTCAGTCACTAAAGCTAGAATAATCCCTAATTTTATGGCAAGACAGGAGGCTTCATATTTGCTGTTTTAACGCTCCTATATAATAGAAGATACAGCATGTGGCATGGGTTTAAAATAAAAGGTTTGAAAGGTCGATTCCCTGGACCAATCTGCGGAAGCTACCTGCCCGGAAGGCCGAGGATGCGGCTGTACCTCTGACTGAGTGAGCTCCAAAGAAGGGGTCAATGCCTGCTTGGACAAGAATCCATTTGATCCATCGTGCGACAGTAGGAGTGGAGACCGGATTGTGCAGTTTGACGTAAGAAACCAGGAGAGGCCCGGTAGGTAGCCGTGGAGTCCATTAGTTTTGTACAGAAAGTAAGGGTAGAAAACTGAGAAGAATTTTTTTTAAATGATGTTAAATTTGCCCCCTTCAGGTGTAAAACTTACAGCATGAAGGTCAAATGCTTGTATATCCGAAACTCTACAAAAAGAGACTAGGCATAGAAGTAATGCTATAAGAACAAAGGGGGTGGGGGGGAGAGTCAGCGCTAAATAACAAGAATATAAAGCAGCAACCCAAAAAGGGAATCCCTCAAAATCCTTAATAAAATAAGCTAAAAAGATGTGAAGGGGGTAAGGGCTGCGCTAAAAAGCCTGTAATAATAGACTAATAAAATAATGACCAGACCAAATGGTCTAAATGAATAAAACACCAACAGATAAACCTATATACGTATAGGAGACAGTGAGGAATAAATCTCACTTAAAACAACAGAATAAAAATAAATATAAATAAATAAAAATAAATGGCTTTGCCATTCCAAGCTTCCATGTTGTGTAGCCACCAGTGGAGTTCTATGCGAACTTCGTCTGTGAGGGAGATCAACTGCGTATGAAGTGGACCGATGTAGGTAGTACGTTTTGAGCCGCTGCATGGCTCGATAGTGTAATGGTCCTGGTTAAATAGCCTGGATGGAGGCTGACAGAAGGCCTATGGTATGTGCCAGATCGCATAAGCGAATGTGTTGGGATGAGAGTAGTTTGCGGATGTCTCTCTTTATGGACTTTATCTTTGTGGAAATCAATTGTAAGTTCGCTTGTATGGAATCGATTGGAAACCCAAGGAATTGAACCGGCTGTGAAGGTTCCAAGGCAGATTTCTGGAAGTTTATGACAAAACCTAGGTTTTGTAGCAACGCAGTTGTCATGTCTGTTTGTTGGCGGAGTAGAGTTGGGGTCTGAGCCATTATCAGAATGTTGTCTAGGTAGATAATGGACCGTATCCCCTGCGATCGGAGTAGCACCATTACGGGTTTCATTAGTTTGGTGAAACACCATGGTGCTGAGCAAAGGCCGAAAGGCAGGCATGTGAACTGCCAAATCTCCCCTTGCCAGAGAAACTGAAGAAAGGCTCGATGGTTGCAAGCTACAGGGACTGTGAGATATGCGTCCTTGAGGTTGAATCTCGGGATCCAGTCTCCCACGCAGAGGAGGTCCCTTAGAAGATGTATGCCTTCCATCTTGAAATGTCGGTATCTGACCTTTTAGATTGATAATAGGGCGAAGATCTCCTGTCTTCTTGCGAACCAGGAAGATGTTGCTGAGGAATGTGTGTGGGAAAGGCGATCTTTCGATCGCTCATTTTTCCATTAGTTTGTGTAATTCTACTTGTAATGTGAGGTCGTCTGTCGTGGTCATTCTCAGAGGTGTGGGTGGTGTATCCTGAGAAAGAGTGGAAAGGAAGTCTATTTTGAAACCCTTGACTGTGTTTAGGATCCATAGATCCTGTGAAAGTAACTCTCACTGCTGAAAAAAATGGGCTAGTCGGCCTGCTATAGGAATATTGAGAGAAAAAGGGATTACTACCTGGAGCAGTGCATCTGTGTAGGGAGGCAGATCCAAGCCCTCGTATGGATCCCCTGTTGGTGAACAACTTCCGGTGGTATGGGCGAGTAGTTCCCGAGCTCCAATAGTTGTCCGTGGGACAAGGCCTTTAGCCTGTGAGACTGCTCTGCTGGTTGTTTGGGCCCTGCTTGGATAGGTCTCTTATAAAAGAGACTCCAAAAAGTAAGCCATTGGCTTCAGGTCCCAGTTCTCGGGATAGCCACGTTGGCATTACCTAAGAAGCATAAAGCTCTCTGGGCCCATTCTCGCATGGTGTGCGCATCAAGTTCTCCAGTGGTAATAGCTTCATCAGCTACAATTTGCACATGAGTTTATCTTGGGTAGATTCGAGGCCTTGTTTAATGCCCTTACGAGGGTCTTTGCCAGTTCTATTGAGGACGTTACTAACATGGGATCGAATTCTGGCATCAGAGACACTTTGTTGGGTATGGTTGGCCAAGGGCATTCGGCTCTGAGTTTGGCACGTACTTCTTTATCTAGGGGCTTCCGTAGCCACATTTTATAAAAATTGTATATGTGGGCAGGTGGGGCCCATTTGGCCGAACGAGGGTGTTTAATCCAAAAGGATGTCTGATTCGTATTCTTTGGTTCTAGGCCTGAATTTGCTTTATTTTCAACGTAAGTTCAATGTAACAAAATCCGAGGTAATAGTTATCAACCATAGAGGTAGAACCCTCTAAACGGTCTGAGGTGGCTCGAACTGGACGGGTGGATGAAAGTTTAAGGGACTTGTCGGGAGCCTTGCCCTTTCCTGCTGATGCACTATTCCCTTTCCAGGGACGTTTATGTGAAACCTCCTCTGTGTCCGAGGACTGAGAGTCAGAAGGAAGATGAACAGTGGGATGAGCTTCAGCAGAAGATTTGTCATGAAAGGCTGCTAAGGGATAAATTCCGTAATGGTGGAGATAAGCCATGTGCGCAGTTCTTGCAAAATAATGGGCTCAGCTTGGTCAGACATGTTTGGCCTGTTAACAATGTCTAAATAAATCAAGGAGTTATGCAGTTAGTAGGGGTCACCCACTATGTAATAGAGTAACTGTAAATGCGGCAGTATAGCAGTTAGTGGGTTGGCCACTAACCTATATTAAGTGGAATAAACCACAATTGATAATAACCACTGGAGTTGGGGGGGGTCACCAAAATACTTCTTAATAAAAATATAGAGATATTTGACACCAAATATATAAGCACAAGTCATAAAGTATATTCGTGAAGCAGCTTGGAGCCGTTCACGTTGTCAACAACAATGCCGAACAGACGATACACTAACTGTCGCAAAAATGGCAGCTATCAAGAAAGGGCGGGAACGACGCGCGTCTATGTACAGACGCGAATAGGCGGAGGTAGGAAAAAGGCGGGAAACCTAACCGCGGCTCTATAGGAAATAGAGTCCGCTGTAGAAAAGATTGGTCTGCGGTCTCTCTGAAGAGAGAACCGCGGCCAGAGGCAGTTAACAAGTCTGGCGAACCTCCATGATTTGAGCGGAGGTCGTTCAAATATGTAAACAGATAGTATTATTCACATAGGAGCCTGTTATAAGGTGTATTGATGTTATGAAATATGATGTAAATGACTGTTAGTGTTCAGGGTTATGTGAAAATAATTATTAGGTGGTGAAGGGAAAAATAAAACATGTATGATAATAGTAAAATAAAGAGTGTGATTAGAACTGTACAAATATAGGCAATAATATAGACAAGTAAAATGTATAAATTTGCCTATACTAAAGCAATATAAATGGAATAGAGTCACCTGGGAGGCAAGCAGCGAAGAAAGAGGATTTGGGAGGAGCTTAAGGACACTATATTCTATGCTTGTACACTCTGATTGGTTAAATGTTTTACATCATTGTTAACTATTTCTTTGCGGCTGAGAGGTTGAGTAAAGACAGATAAGCAAATATGAAGCCTCCTGTCTTGCCATAAAATTTGCATCCAGCGAGCAGAACGTCCATAAGAAAGCATTAAGTTTTCCTATGGACTATTAGAATGTGCGTGCGGCTGCGCATGCGCATTCTGCTCCACTCGGGAGCTGACGTCGGCGGGGGAGGAGAGGTCACCAGAGCCGAGGGAGCCCGGCGCTGGATAAAGGTAAGCTGCTGAATGGGTTTTAACCCCTTCAGCGCCACGGGAAGGGGACTCTGAGGGTGAGGGTCCCCCAAGGATGACATAGTGTCAGGAAAATGAGTTTGTTTTCCTGACACTATAGTGATCCTTTAACCCCTTAACGCCGTTACAGCGTTCTATGCCATCCCGCATTAAATGGGCTTTAAAGCCGTTGCGGCGGCATAGAACGCTGTAACGGCTTTCAGCCTCAGGAGCCTACAACTACTCACCTCCGCCGCGATCCTCTTCTGAAGGGCTGCCTGACAGCCCACGCAGCCCTCCCCCGGCAAATGTGGCCCCCTATAGCTGGCTGTGGATCTGCCAGCAGTGGGACTGTCTGAAATGTCTGCTGGTGGGAAATGTAAAAAAAAAAATGATTAAACATGTTTAAAATTAATTAAATGTGTATATATATATATTAGTTAATACAATGTTAAACAAAAATCTGCACACCAGTCAAGCCATAAGACTTGCTTTTCCCACAGAAATCCCAAATCTGCAGTGATGTTAAAACCGCAAAGGATTCTGGGTGGGCAAATGCAAATTAGTTTAACAAAGAATCACATTTTTGCCTCATTCCATTTTAAACATGGATTCTTTTTAATCTGTGTTTGCAGTATACAACTGCTTGGAACAGAATTTAGGAAAAGATGCAAAACCAGTGAACCACTCATGGACAGCTGTTTCGTTGTTAATGCAACTCTTAAGCATGAGGTTGGTTACTGGTTTGCTTATTGAGGCTTGGTAGTGCTTGGGAAGCAAAATCCAATTAGGTTATGGTATATATAATATATATATATATATATATATACACACACACACACACACACATCATATGTATATATGTAACGTCATAGTGTATTTTAATATTAATATAAGTACATATATTAGTATTAAAATACACTTAGAATGACGTTACATATATATAAGATATATATAATACATCTATATATTTTATATTTATATATACACATAATTACAATATATAAATAAAATAAAATATTTTTATATTTTTTACAAAATTTAAATACATTATATTTACATATGTAATTTCATTCTAACTGTATTTTGTTATTAATATATACATATATATAACAAAATACACTTAGAATGACTATATATATATATATATATATATACATATATATATATATATATATATATATATATATATATATATATATATATATATATATATATATATATATATATATATATACACACACACACACACAAAATTTTATATATAATTACATAAATAAAAAAATGATGATGATCTTGATAAAGACCCCAGGTGGGTCGAAACGTCGATTTTTTTCGCACAGATTATGCTTTGGTAAGCATTTAATAAAAGAAACTTGTTTTTTCCTTATGAAGTCCTAGTGTGCTCCCTTTATCTATTTTGTTATATAATTACATAAATAACTACATAAGTGTACATGTAGACTTTAAATACAAATATACATATGTATATTAAAATTCTACGTGTATATTTAAGTAATATTTTAACATAATTATATGATTTAATTAGTTAAAATTTGATTGACATGCCTGACAACCCAGACAAAAAGTGCAGAGAATTTGAATTGCAAGCACTATATTTAACCCTGTAACTTTCCAAGACACCATAAAACCTGTACATGGGGGGTACTATTTTACTCGGGAGACTTCGCTGAACACAAATATTAGTGTTTCAAAATGGTAACTTGCATTACAACAATAATATTGTCAGTAAAAGTGCCGTTCATGTGTGAAAAATGCAAAAAACTTCGCTTTTACTAAAAATATCATTGTTGTAATACAAGTTACCATTTTGAAAAACTAATATTTGTGTTCAGCAAAGTCTCCTGAGTAAAACAGTACCCCCCATGTACAGGTTTTATGGTGTTTTGGAAAGTTACAGAGTCAAATATAAGGCTTACATTTCATTTTTTTCACATTTAAATTTGCCAGAGATTGGTTATCTTGTCTTTTGAGACCGTATGTTAGTACAGGAATAAGAATTACCCCCACGATGACATATCATTTGCAAAAGTAGACAACCCAAGGTATTGCAAATGGAGTATGTTCAGTCTTTTTTAGTAACAACTTGGTTACAAACACTAACCAAATATTAGTTTTTTTGCTTTTTTCACACAAAAACAAATATGAATGCTAATTTTGGCCAATGTTTGTGACTAAGTGGCTACTACAAAAGAATGGACATACCCCACTTGCAATACCTTGGGTAGTCTACTTTTGCAAATGGTATGCCATCATGGGGGTAAATCTCATTCCTGGGCTCCCACACGGTCTCAAAGGTAACATTACTAATCTGGCAAATTTCAATGTGAAAAAGCTGAAAAATGGAATGTGCTATATTTGACCCTTTTAATTTTCCAAAACACCGTAAAAACTGTTAATGGGGGCTACTGTTGTACTCGTGAGACTTTGCTGAATCCAAATATGTGCTTTATTTGCAGTAAAAGCTAACAGTATTATGACATTTACAGCTAAAATGTGAGGCGGAACTACACATTTTTTAAATTACTCAGTTTTTTTTTTTTATCTTATTCATAATAAATTATGTTTCATATATAAATATTTGATATGAAATGAAAACCCTGTTTCTTCTGAACAAAATGATATATAATAAGTGTGGGTGCATATAATATGAAAGAGGTGAATTACGGTTGAACAGACATATAGCGCAAATTCCAGTTTTTGTTTACATTTTGTTTTGATCAGAACGTATACTATTGACTCCGTCCTGAAGGGGTTAAGTTATCAAGAAAATTAATCCTTTTTCCTTTCACCTGCCCATAAATTTAAATCTGAAAAAGTCCAGTTTAGGCAAATTGTGTCTTACGAAATTAGACACAAAATGGACATACAGTTAAGTATGCTATTACTCATGTTTATCTTTTGTTAATCTCTCTTTTGAGTATTACACCAAATAGAGATGCAAACATTTTATTTTTTATATTTATTTTTAAATTGATGTGAGTGAAAGTTGCCAAAGGCAGAGTGCTATCTAACAAGCTTGCATAATTTTAACCAGTCACCCTAATTCTCATGGGTATATTGTTTTTATATTTATTATATACACAGTATAACACCGTATGGCCATATTTCTTGTCTCCTTTTCCCATATCTATTGATGTACCCCAAAACTAAGGAGTGAGTATACAGTTGTAGAAGTTTGTTCAACCACATCAGTGCTTTCTAATTTGAGGACCAATTCATTTGATTTATGTTTTGTGAATGGGTGTAGGTGGAAAACCCCATATGTGTTTTAACTGCTGTTTATATAATTACATAATAGATTAACCACCTTTATCACATTCATTTTTTTTGCAAAAAACAAAGAACGATTGATTATGGGGATGTAGTGTATGCACCTGCATCGCAAACCCACCTTAATAAACGTAATACGTTATATAATTCGTTCTGCCACTTTGTACTAGAATGTACTAGAATTACTTTACCCACCTTTGTGACATGTTAAAAGAGCTACACTGGCTATCGCTGGAATCCCGACGCCGCCTTCATCTTTCCATCATTATGCATAAGAGCTTTTCTGGGAGGCTCCCACCCTATCTAAGTAGAATGCTCTCCCCAGCTGTTCCCACCTCCTATAACCTCCGATCCAATACCAGCACGATATTACGCATACTGCAATACAAAAAAGAAAGTGGCCAGTACTCATTTTTCCTACAGAGCAGCGCAACTATGGAATAACCTCAGGGACACAGTCAAATCTTCATTCAATCTAAAATCTTTTACGATATCTATGGCAACATACCTCAATACAGAATGCACCTGTCATGATTGACTATATTTATTGCCTATTATGTGTTAAATTTATATATGTGTGTATGTATATATATGTTTTTTGTATGTTTTGTAATATTGTATCCTATTGTAACAATGCAATGTTTTGTGGACCCAGGAGATACTTGAAATGAGAGGAATCTCAATGTATCCTTCCTGGTATAATATAATATATATATATATATATATCTCCAAGTTAGATAATTTATCATAACTACCTAAAACTAAATGATAAACTTCCCTTGATAATGCGTACAATTTCAAATGGAAAATGTTAGTCCAAATTACCTGAAGCAGAATTTGACTTGGCTCAATGTTCATACAATTTGGGCTTTAACCTTGACATTGACTTGGAATCCCTGACACTTTACCCTTTTAATGAAAAGCCCTGCTATGCAGCCAGTCATGCTGACACCAAGTACACTCCATAGGAAAACACGAGCCCTCCCAGAACGTAAACCCCCTCTAATTACTTAGTAAACACTGCCTTTCTGTCCCCCTCTCCTGTACACTATTTGTCATAGCAGCAGCAGTAGTAATCGCCCCCAATCCCTGCTTCCCCTCATTGCTCTGTATGCACGCCATGTTGCTCTACCCATCCCTCCTCCCCCTCCTCCGTGCGTGTCAGCTCTGCGCCATGACGTCATGTGACGAGCAGTAGCGGCCGCGGCGGCGGATTTCCCGTCGTGCTCCGGGTCAGTCTAGGAGGCTGCGACCAATGCACCGTGTCACCGGCTTGGGGGACAATGACAACGGATCCGGTAAACAGGAGGACCGGGATGGAGGGAGGGTGTGCGGGATAAGGAAGGAATCCGGAGCCGGCAATACAGGGAATGCTATAAACAGAGAGAGAGAGAGAGAGAGAGAGAGAGAGAGGAGGGGGGTAGTGTAGGAGACAGAGGGAGGTGGAGAGAGAGACACATAATAAGAGAGGATGGAGAGTGGGGAGAGGAGCACACAATGCTGTGTACACACAGAGAGAGAGAGAGAGAGAGGACATGGATTGGAGGGCAGCACTGGGGGAGGGGGAGGGAGAGAGGGTGTTAGTATGGAGGGAGGGAGGGAGGGCAGATCTGCATTGCAATGGGGGGAGAGCTGGGCAGGCAGGCAGGCATTAATGGGATTTAGACAGGAAAAGCAATGCGCCTGTGAAAAGTATAAAGAGATGTCAGATCATAACAATAGCAGACTGCTGTGCACAGTGCTTCTTAAAGGGTTAATGTAATATGAACACAGAGCCCCATAAAGGGTTAAGGTAATTGGAGCATAGTGTCCTTTATTAGGGTTAAGGTATTTGGACCACAGTCTCCTTTAAAGGGTTAATGCTATATGTACACAGATCCCTTTTAAATAATTAAGGCAATTAGAGCATTGTGTAATTTAAAGGTTTAAGGTAATCTGAACACAGAGCCCTTTAAAGGGTTACGCTTGAATGCTTATACTGATGTACAGGTCGCACTTCTAAAACCATTATTATTATTATTATTGCCATTTATATAGTGCCAACAGATTCTGTAGCGCTTTACAACATTGCACTCTGACTATTCTTCTACTGGCGTTATGGGCTATGAAATCTTGCAGTGTTCACATTTGCTTGATGTTATATAGGATACAGTCAAGTTGCTATAGTTTTGTCTCATTATGATAAAAGCACAGATTAATGTACCATTTTTTTTTTTTTAATGTATTCTCAGCAGCACTGGCTGAATTTCAGAGGCGATAAAGGGCTGCTGATGCGATACTTCGCCAGTATATTAACTATGAAAGCATGTGAAAGATCGTATAGTCAGAGGTATTAAAATGCGAAAGGGAGTTCTCATAGAGATGGGGACATTATAGTCATCAAAACAACTTAATTTTGAAGTCTCACTGCTCAATTATCTGGCATTTAGGAGTTAAATCACTTTTGTTTCTGTTTATGCAGCTACACCACCTCTGGCTGTAACTTGTGCAAAGACCAGCAGGCTATAAACCGTGCAGAAGATGAGAAATTCTAAATCAAACCGACTGCACAGTAAAGGAAGCGTAAACATTAGATGACTCTTTACAGGAATTGTTTTCAGAAGGCTGTGTAAGTCACAAGCAGGGAGGTGTGACTAGGGCTGTATAAACAAAGTGATTGAACTCCTAAATGGCAGACAATTGGGCAGTGAGATTGCAGATGTATGATCCATACACCCAAACTGGTTCATTAAGCTAAACTTGTTTTGGTGACTATAGAGTCCCTTTAAGGCATATAGAAAGTCCTGCGTCCTATTTGGTCATCCTTAATCATGGGTTTTATATAGTGGTGGAATGCATTGGGTTATGTATTGTTAAATATGTAAATTCTATTAAGATGTTATCCTCCAGTAGAAAGTTAATTGTGATAGTTTATAGAAGTGTTAATTATTGTATAGTGTGTTTTATACAGAACCTTGTTTTTACGTTATTTTTACCTGTTTCTTCCACATGCTAACAAGATATGGAAATATTTTTTCTTTATCTATGTAGTAATGTTTAAAAACGTACTAGCTAGTACACACAGAGTGCCGTGGATCATGTTATCCTGAATGTGCCACTTTTTCATTGAATTCTTCTGGAGAAGCCATCTTACCTGCTAAGAGGTATTACAATTGGAACCAAAAATGTCAAATGTCAGTGGAGGAGGGAGTTGTAAACCAAACTCAAACAACTGGTGTAAATCACAAGAAAAGCTTCCTGTACATGTAAGTAAGCTAAAAAAAATAAAATTTTACATTACTAAATTAAATACTTTCAACTATATCTTAACACAAAATTGTTTATTTCCACTGAGTGCCTGTAATTGTCACACATTTAAAGGATCACTATAGGTTCAGGAACAGAAACATGTATTCCTGACCCTATAGTGTTAAAACCACCATCTAGCCTCCCTGGGCCACTCATGACTCCATGAATATAGCAAAATCTTACTGTATTCAAGCCTGAAGCTGTAACTCTGCATGCTGTTTGTTTAAGAAAAACAAGCAGGCTGCTGACATCAGAAGTGGTAGCCTGATCCAATCACAATGCTTCCCCATAGGATTGGCTGAGACTGACAAAGAGGCAGACCAGGGGCAGAGCCAGCATGATTTAAACACAGCCCTGGCCAGTCAGCATCTCCTCATAGAGATTAATTGAATCATTGAATCTCTATGAGGAAAGTTCAGTGTCTGCATGCAGATGAAGGAGACACTGAATGTTCGGATGCATTTTAGGCAGCCATGACCCAGGAAGGATCTCTAACAGCCATCTGAGGAGTGGCCAGTGAAGTTATGACTAGGCTGTAATGGAAACATTGCATTTTCTCTGAAAAGACCGTGTTTACAGCAAAAAGCTTCAAGGTAATGATTCTACTCACCAGAACAAATTCAATAAGCTGAAGTTGTTCTGCAATAGAACATAAGAAAGATGCTAATATTTTGTGGTACTTTTCAATTAGCTATTCACTGCTTGTGTAATTTGCAGCATTCGACAAGTAATTCTTGTCCCCCTCCACCTCATTCATTCTCACACATTATGTCTCCCTTATATGTCCCTTCCACCTGTCCCCTCTCTCTAATTTTTGTCAAATCTGCATCTCACTATGATTTAGTTAGTACTCTCTCTGTTTGTTTCTTCACAAATCCTCATGGACCAAGGGTTGGCCTGCCCACTTGCCCAAAATCCCAGCCCTTTACTCTTCTTTCTTACTGCCCTTAAAGGGACACTCCAGGCACCCAAACCACTTGTGCCCATTGGAGTGGTCTGGGTGCCAACTCCCACTACCCTTAACCCTGCATCTGTAATTATTGCAGTTTTTATAAACTGCAATAATTGCCTTGCAGGGTTAACTCCTCCTCTAGTGGCTGTCTAGTAGACAGCCATTAGAGGGCACTTCCTGCTTCATAGCACAGGTTTTCTGTGCTAGAGCTTCGCTGGTCATCCTCACGCTGTGTGAGGACCTCCGGCGTCGCTCAATTCCCCGTAAGAAAGCATTGAAAAGCATTTTCAATGCTTTCCTATGGAGAGCTCTAATGCGCATGCGCGGCATTAGGTCTCCTCAGCCGTCGGGCGGGATCGATCAGTTTCCCCCACCGGCTGACGTGATGAATGGGAGGAGCGGCGGCAACCCGAAACCACCGCTGAGGGACATGGGAGTGGGTCTCAGGTAAGTCACTGAAGGGGTTTTCATCCCTTCAGCAACCGGGGATGGGTGGTGGGAGGGAGAGGGGACCTGCAGTGCCAGGAAAACGGATTGTTTTCCTTGCACTGGAGAATCCCTTTAAATCATGTTGTTCATTTGTCCTACTTACATTTGTAAATGCTGTTTGCTGAATAAATTGAATTACTCTGCATTATCTTTAAAATAAATAAATTAAAAAAAAATATATATTTTTTTTATTATTATTAAATTCATCAGTGACAGTGTAGTAGAGTTCCTATCCATTCTTTCCATTTACTTCTTCCTCTACGCATAACATAAATAACACAGAACACAACTAGTGGGTGGCTAACTGAAAACTAACACATTTTGTTTACTTTAGGAAATTGATTATTCAGTAATGGGTGGGGAGAGCAATAAGCATATAAAGCATTAGAGGTAAATGTATCTCCATGGAGTACTCTATGGTTAGACAATTACCTTGCTCCCCCAGGTGCCTACAATTCGACCCCTTATCACAGATAAAGCTAAAGGGGTGGTTCCCCTTCAACATTATCATTTTTGAAACCATCATTCTCAGCAAAATAATACTGCCCATAGTCTGATGGCATTCATGGGTTAATGCTTACATTGCATCATTTTTAAATATTCCTAACTGTATAAACACAGACCCTGGAAAAGTATTTTAGGTTATGAATAAACTGGCGTTGCAGTTTGAAATTGACCTCTGAAACAGATTTATTTCAATTTTAAATAATAATAGTTCTATGCATAGTAGTTATGACATGCTTATTATGTAATCTTTCAGGTAGAGGATGCTCTGTCTTACCTGGACCAGGTAAAAATCCGTTTTGGGAGTGATCCAGCCACATACAATGGATTTCTGGAGATTATGAAGGAATTTAAATCTCAAAGGTAAAGTTAGAATGTTTTGTCTTATTGAATTAAAAACTCCATAAGGATTGAACATCATTTATTATGAACCAACAAAGTTCCCAGCATTGTTTAATTTTAGAGGCTATAAAAATGCCATATGATCTGTTAAAGGAACACTTTAGTGTTACAAATACAAGTTTGCATTACTAAGGCTATAGTATTCCCCCCCCCCCTGCCTTCCCCCCATATAAAACGTAAAAAAAAGATTTACTTGCCTTGCTTCTAGTGCCAAGACTCAATACTTGCAGTCGCCATCCCCGGTGTCATTTGAATAGTATATAAACTTGATTTACATTACCATAAGCAATTTTGAAAGGATTGCCGATGTGGTTAAGTGAGTTTGTTCTGTTTTTTTTTTTGCAGTATTGACACTCCTGGCGTAATCCGTAGAGTCTCCCAGTTGTTCCATGAGCACCCAGATCTAATGCTTGGTTTTAACGCTTTTCTACCACTTGGTTATAAAATTGAGCTTCCGAAGAATGGGAAAGTGGTCGTACAGACTTCTCTGACCAGCCCTGTGAGTAATCAAGAAGAGTATTGGATTAGGGGTAGGGGTAAAAACAGCTTTAAAAAAAAAAAAAAAAAAGCTAACCCCTCAAACTTCAAGGTTCTACCACACATTTATTTGGTCCATTATTTTTTATTATATCACTTTAATATTCAAGGATATAATATTTCAATGTAGGGTAATAACTGCTTGATCCAAGGATAAATCTGACTGCCATTCTGGGGTCAAGAATGAATTTTTTTTTCCTTCCTAGCTTGTTGCAAAATTGGAAGTGCTTCAAACTGTTTGTTTTTTTTGTCTTCTTTTGGATCAACAGCAAAAAACAAATGTGAGGAAGACTGAACTTGATGGATGCAAGTCTTTTTTCAGCTATGTAACTATGTAATAACTGATTTACAATATGAGTCTTTTTCTGTTAACATTAATTGTACGCAGTTTTGTAACTATTACTCATTACATATTAAAGAATTATTTATCCCCCACATAACTGCAGGTCCCTTCGGATGTGGCCACCAGCTCTTTGCCAAGCAGCCGTGCTACGCTGCCTACTGCACCAGAAAATTCTCATAATGAGATAACAGAGGAAGCCCGGCAACTGGATAAAGAAAAGGCACAGCCTCCCCCAGAATCCGACTCTCTAGAGTTTCACAACGCCATCAGCTATGTCAATAAAATTAAAACAAGGTTTCTGGACCGGCCTGAAATCTACAGATCTTTCTTGGAAATTCTTCACACATATCAGGTAAGAAAGTAATTTACCTGAAATTATCAGCCCAGTATGATTGGACATTATGCCTTAAATGGATACTCCAGACCCCTAAAGCAAGCTGAAGTGCTTATATTTATTCTGAAGTCTGTGATTGGATAGCCACAGAATGTCTAGAATGGCTTGCAATGCTTTAGACGAGATCTGCAAGTGGTTTTTAGTTATACCTCCTTCCCCAAATGAATAATTAAATGCATGCATGTTTTCATTTGAGGTATATCTACTAAATAATGACTTTGATTTATTTTGTATAAATAGGCAGTGGGGTGTCCCTTTAAATACGTTAATTGGCAGAGATCTGAAGAAACAATTTATGTTGATGCACATACCTTCTGTTAGCACTTATGAGATTAATCCTGGCAGCAATGCTAGCTCATTGACTGAGAGTGTCAACTGATCATTCTGAGCCAAAGAGCCAAGTCCTGCACTAGCATGCCTAGCCCAATGCAGAGATATTCTCATGGAGGTGACCACTTAGCGACAGACCCCAGGAATGTTATTAAATGGGTTTGAGTGGGGCAAGGCACAGAGTACTGTAGTGGTTATGGTTCTTGGAGTGTTCCTTTGAATTAACACCAATCACAACCAATAAGAGCATGCAGAAGTGCTAAAGGTGACTTGGGTTTCGCTGCTAATCACCTTGCTTCAATTTTGTCAAGGCTGGACTTTAGTAGGAATTAAATACAGATTTCAAGGAACACTCTAGGAGCTCATACGTTGGACATAATACTCAAAAATAAGGTTACAATGATCTTTTTTTGAAGAGGGGGGTTTAACCCCTTAAGAACCAAACTTCTGGAATAAAAGTGAATCATGACATGTCACACATCATGTGTGCTTAAGGGGTTAAAAAGTTAAAATAAAATTCAAAATAGTTTTCCGCATAAGCCCACCCTTTCTGACCTCTCAACTTGTACTGTTACCCTTCTATAAAAATATATAATGTGGTTATGGGAGTTCAGCTGCAGTTGAAACCGATAAATCACAGCATTTTTTATTCTCTTGGCAGTGTATTCTTTACAAGATAATTGCAGCACTGAAAATTAAGTTAAAGGAACACTCCAATGGAAAAAACATATTAAAGGGACACTATAGTCATTGTCTTAAGGCATTTTCATGCAAACATGCCCTTAGGGACACCTCCAAGTGGTCACTTCTCAGATAGCCACTGGAGATGCTTCCTAGGGCAGTGCTGCACAGTAGGTAGCACTGCCGCTCGCGTCTCCATATTCTGCATGGGGACGCTAAGTTTTCCTCATAGAGATGTATTGATTCAGTGCATCCATATAAAGAAGTGCTGATTGGCCAAAATGGCATTTAACCCCACCCCCATTCTGCATTCTTGCCGATTTTAGCCAATCCAGTGCATTCCCCATGGGAAAGCATTGGATTGGCTTAAAATCGGTAATTCTGATGTCATCAAGAAGGCGGATCGGGGGCGGGGCCATCGCCGGGAGACCCGTGCGGCGCTGGAAATAAGGTGAGTTTTAATTCGTTTTAAGGAGGTGGGGGGGAAAGCCACCTAAATGGGGGGTTTAACACTATAGGGCCAGGAATACATGTTTGTTTTCCTTTAACAGCAAATCAATTGTCTGTAGCCTTTGCCAGCCCTCCCTCTACTCCAATCGAGACATTTTGTAGCTGTCCAATCACAGACTTCCCAAATTCAGCTCCATTAGAAGTATTTGCAAGGCAGGTGAACAGTTCTGAACAGTTGAGTTTAGCCCCAGTGAGCTAAACAACCAGGAAGTGACTGGATTGGATGTCTGATTAAAAGCCAGGGAGAGGGTGGTGTAACAAGGTTAAGGTATAAATGTATCAATTTCTGTTGAAATCTGTATAGAATGTCCATTTTAGTGAGCAGCATGCTTGACTGAGTCACTTCCTGGTTTGGTGAGAGTTGATTGCAAAATGTGCACATCCTGTAAATTTGCAGCATATCCAAGAACTTCAAAAATTATTATTTTGGGCATTTTTTTGTACGCTAACTAAATTAAGAGAATCTTACAATGAAATGAGACCTGGTTGCTTAAAACTCCTTAAAATATAGCCTGTAGTTGTAAATGAAGATTTAAAGTATTTTAAGCTTGCCTACTACCCTGTTTTATAGCACAGTGGCAAACACTGAAAAATAACTTTCAGTTTCATTTTCAGAAGGATCAGCTAAATCCAAAAGGTCGCCCGTTCCGTGGCATGTCTGAAGAGGAGGTATTCACAGAAGTTGCCAGCCTATTCCGAGGGCAGGAAGACCTTTTGTCTGAATTTGGCCAGTTTCTACCAGAAGCAAAGAGATCTCTGGTAAAGACATACCTAGGGATATTCACTGAACTGAGAACTGTTTTTTTTTTTTTTTTTTTCAACAATTTCTCGTTTAGTGAATGTACCCTCAACAGGATTACAAATTGGTAAAAAAACAAACAAAAAAAACACACACCACGATATCGAAAAAGCTATAAGGTAAAATACTTTGCATAGCTAGTGTTTAATAGCAGGGATCGCTCCTTAGACTATAATTTATCACATCGGTCCTCATGATTCACCAAACCACCTGAAAATCATGCTATACCGCTTCAGCATAGGTCATCAATGGTTCTTTTTTTTTTATTGGGCTACTTGAGCACTGATGGGGCTATATCTGAATTCTGGCATGTTGTAGGCTGTGTTCTAATTCTTTGACTTGGAGCAGTGTTTTCCAAACCAGTCTTCAAGACCCACCAACAGTCCAGGTTTTGTCAATATCTCCATTGGATTAAAACAGGCAAATGCATAAATCCAGAATTTTTGGTGGGCCATGACGACTGGTTTGGGAACCACTGCCTTATAGCATTGCTATCGAAATCCAGTTCTTGGAAATCAGAAGCAAACTGTGTTTTGTGGTTATACTTGACACATCACTCAGTAATGAATAGTTAATTACTTGTTAATTAATCAAAGCCCTTGAGTACTTTTGCCGCCAAGTGTGTTTTTCGAAAAGGGCTAAACACTAAAATGCTTCTTAATGAGCTCTGTTACAATGTAGGATGGGTTCGAAGTTTCCTAATCAAAAAAAAACAAAAAACAACCCACCTATTTTCATGTGAATGAGGTAATTGTTGTCTGTTATCTTCATGCAACTCTTTTAATATCAGAGGAGGCTGTAATGCACTATGACATCTTTGCATCATATTTATTTATGGGAGTCTGTTTTGAGTGGATATTCTTATATTAAAGGAACACTATAGCATTAGGAATACAAATATGTATTCCTAACGGTATAGAGCCCTTGTCGCCGTTTAGGTGACACGGGCCCTGTTCCGCGGCAAATGAATGGTTATCCATTTATTTGCTTACCTTAATTCAGCGCCGGGATCCCTCAACACTGGTGACCTCTCCTCCTCCATCGACGTCCGTTTCCGAGTGCAGCTGAATGCACATGCGTGTGAGGACGTCCAGCATGAAATACGTGCGATTTACTCCATGTAAATCACGGAAGCGCCTCTAGTTACTGTCAGGGAGGCAGCCACTAGAGGCTGGATTAACCCCACAGTGTAAACTGCTCTTTTCAGCTGCAGGGTTAAAACTATGGGGACCTGGCACCCAGACCACTAAATTGAGCGGAAGTGGTCTGGTTGCCTATAATGGTCCTTTGAGCTTTTAGGTAATTAACTGAAGGTATATGTCAGATATGGAAGATGTTTTTTTTTATATACAGGTGGTCCTCGTTTTGCGACCTACCTGTTTTACGACGGCTCGCACTTACGACCAGCTCTCTTGCAAGGTGGTAAGTGTGAGCCGTTGTGGGAATTAGAGGGATTCTCTGCTCTGCTGCGTTCTTCTATGTTCGGGGATATTTCCCAGAACATAGACGAACGTAACAGAGCAGGGAATCCCTCTAATCTATGTTTCCCCGAGCATAGATTAGAGGGATTCCCTGCTCTTGTGCGTTCGTCTATATTCGAGGAAATGTCCCTGAACACAGACATGCGCACCAGAGCAGGGAATCCCTTAAGTCTATGTTCGGGGAAATTTGCCCGAACATAGATTAGAGAGATTCCCTGCTCTGGTGCGTTCATCTATGTTCAGGGAAATTTCCCTGAACATAGAACGCAGCAGAGCAGGGAATCCCTTAACTCCTCACTTACCAACCAATTAGTTCTACAACCGGGTCGTAGGAATGGAACCCGGTCAATAAGTGAAGTGTGTCTGTACAGCTGTCAAAGTACCTAAACTTCACTTGCTGATTGATTAATGTATTAGAAAGAATAAAAGAGTTATTTTCTAAAGTAAGAATTCAAAGTGAATTTCAAATTGAAGATCAAAATAGTAGTTAGAAACTTCAGTCAGCTATTTTTCTCTGGCCTTAAATTTGAAATGGACTATGAAGTCTCACTTTAGTAAATAACTATTGTAGTCATTTTTCTGTATGCATTTTCAGCCCTCTTTATTGTTATGAAAGGGTTATTCACTAAAGTGAGAATTCAAAGTGAATTTCAAATTTGTCCCGAGAAGCTGAATGGAAAGCATAGTTTACTTAGTGAATGCTTCCAGTAGCGCTATTTTGACCTTAAATTTGAAATGTACTTAAAATTCTCACTGTAGTGAATAACACAGAGAGATATTGGATCTTTCCTATTATCTGCCCTCCACTCTTCCCCTTACAGCTGGGCAATCATTGGAGCTCCTCCTTCCTTGGGATCCCAATATCTGAAAAGGCTACTCAGTGAGGTCCTGCAAGGTCAGTAAAGTTGTCACAATCCACTTATAGTTAGGTGCTTTATTACAGCACTAGGATATGGGACAATTCAGTTTATATTTATGAAATATTATTATTATTATTTTTTTTACAGGTTTCTGACACCTAGGGGGGAAAAAAAATGACAATTATTTTAAGGGTAAATTTCAGCCTTTACATCTAGGGATTGAATAGGAATTGAGAGATACTGCAGTGCTTGAGGTAGGCAATAAGCTAAATATCTTCCTAACCCTAATTTTCATCTTTACCCTAATCCTAAATGTCCCATGTCCCAATGCTGCAGTGAAGCTACTAACTGTAAGTTGAGTGTGACAGTAAGTTTACTTACCTTGTGTTTACTTACCTTGCAGGACCTTGCTGAGCATCCTTTTCAGGCACAGGGAACCAGAGGAAGGAGGAGCTCCAAGTATTGCTGAGATGTGGGGGGCAGATTACAGGAAACATCTGAGATTTTTTTTATTTTTTTGAAATTTAGGTTTAAGGCCAAAGCAGCCAAACTGAAAGCATAGCTGACTATTTTTTTTAAACTTTTTTTACAAATTTTTTTTTCCAGTTTGGCTATTTTGGCCTTAAATGTAAAATTCACTTTGAATTCCTGCCAATGTTCACTTTATGGAATAACCCTGCATGTGGTAAATATGCAACAGTAAAATAACAAAAAAATAAAACCTTTCAACCCTGCGCTGGATTTTATTTTGCAACATATCTGACATTGTCACAGACCTTTTTCATTTGTAGAAACGTTGTGGATTTCCACTACTAAAATGCTCATACATATGAATGAATATTTTTTATAATGTCTGGGTTGGGTTGTTTTTTTGACATCTCTAGTTCACTGGAAACGGAGCTTGTGATCTTAGTAGCGCCAGGAAACTCGAGTACCAGCGAAACCTAGAGCAGAGCCGGAAGCGTTCAAGGTCTCTCCTGCTACGCCCCATGTCTTGTCCTTCCAAGGTAAAAAGTTAATTAGGTTTTAATTTCTCGTGCACAAAAAAGTTGTGAAATGATGTCTAACCTTTTCCTTACTTAATTCCCTCCTCTTAGAAAAAAATGAAGATTCGCAAATCTAAGGATCAGTCTGTGGCCAACGTGGGAAAGTATGGGACGCTGCAGGAGTTCTCTTTCTTTAACAAGGTTAGTTCTCGCTTTATGTTTGCATTGGTATTCATGTACAAAATATATTTCCTTCCGTGGAATACTCTTTTTGCTATTTACTAATCACTATATTTTAGCAAATTAAATACCAAAATGTAGGTCAAGTTGTTACAATGCATTCCCCTGTAAGTTTGCAAAAACCCATAAAACCTGTACATGGGAGGTACTGTTGTACTCGTGAGACATTTCTGAATACAAATATGTGTATTTTATTTCCGTAAAATCCAACAGTATTATGACATTCACAGTTAACATGTCATGCAGAAGAATAACATTTCTTAATTTCTTACTTTTTAAAATTTTATTCATATCAATTATGTTTCACATATAAATATTTGATATAAAATGAAAGCCCTGTTTCTCCTGAACAAAATTATATAAAATAAGTGTGGGTGCACTTGATATGAAAGAGGTGAATTATGGTTGACCCACATATAACGCAACCCCGTGCTATGCCGTCTGTAAACGCTGGTGGGTGGCATAGTATGTCCCTGCATCCTATACACTTACCAGCTGTCTAGCGATCGTGATGGGGTACTTGCCTGGCATCCCAGGCAGTCCCCCTGCGTCTGATCCTGCCCTCCTGGGCCATATGGTCGCGAGGACCTCACAATCCCATGGACAGAGTAGCCATCCATATCAGTGTCAGCAGGGGGTGTGCCTGGAATGATGGGTAGTTCCCCCTGCTGCCTGTAATTAATAAAGTAAAATATATACTTAGAGTGTGTGTGTGTGTGTGTGTATGTATGTATGTGTGTGTGTGTGTGTGTGTGTGTGTATATATATATATATATATATATATATATATATATATATATATATACACACTGTCCAAGTGTATTTTAATATTAATATATATTATCAAAATGTGTGTGTGTGTGTGTGTGTATATATATATATATATTGTTTTTTATTTTTTTTATTTATGTATATATTTATGTAATATTTTTACATAATTGAGTAATTTTTATGAATTACAATTTGTGGGACCTGCCTGATAACCTTGGCAGAAAGTCCAGAGAATTTAAGTTGCTAGCACTATGTTTAACCCTGTAACTTTCCAAGTACTGTTTTACTTGGGAGACTTCGCAGAACACAAATATTTGTGTTACAAAACAGTAAAATGTATTACAACATCATCCGTAAAAATGCAGTTTCTTGCATTTTTCACACACAAACGGCACTTACACTGACAATATAATTGTTGTGATATATTTTACAGCTTTGAAACACTAATATTTGTGTTCAGCGAAGTCTCCTGAGTATAACAGTAAGACTCATGTACAGGATTTATGATGTTTTCAAAAGTTAGAGCGTCAAATATAAGGCTTGTGTTGCAGCCACTTAGTCACAAACACTGACCAAAATTGGCGTTCAAATTAGTTTTTTTGCATTTTTCACACACAAACAAATATTAACGCTAATTTTGGCCAGTGTTTGTGACTAAGTGGCTACTAGAAAAGACTGGACATGCCCCATTTGCAATAGTTTGGGTTGTCTACCATTGCAAATGGTATGCCATCATGGGGGTAATTCCCATTCCTGGCCTACCTTAAGGTCTCAAAGGCAACATAACCAAACTGGCGAATTTCAACGTGAAAAAACTGAAAAATGTAACATGCTATATTTGACTCTGTAACTTCCCAAACACCATAAAACCTGTACATAGGGGGTATTGTTTTACACGTGGGACGTCACTGAATGCAAATGTGTATTTTATTGCAGTAAAAGCAAACAGTATTATGACATTCACAGTTAAAATGTCACGTAGAACTAAAAAAAAAATAAACATTTCTTAATTTCTCAAATTGTTTTATATTTTATTCCTATTAAATTATGTTCATAGCTAAATATTTGAATTTAAATGAAAGCCCTATTTCTCCTGAATAAAATGATATATAATAAGTGTGGGTGCATATAATATGAAAGAGGTGAATTACGGTTGGACAGACATTTATAGTCAAATTCCAAGTTTTGTTTGTTTTATTTTGATCAAAACGTGTACATTTGGCTCCGTCCATAAGGTGTTAAGTTACATTATTGTTTATGTGTTTTGAATTGTTGTGGGTTGTTTTTATCATAAGAGGACTATTCATTTTAAGCAGCAGCTTGTGATTTGATTTATAAAATCATTTTCAAAATTCAGATTAAAATAATGAGACTAGCTGAGTTGGAGTTGTTTTCCATAGTTCATTACAATTTACCATTTAGTGACTACGCCATATGCTTCTAATCTTAGAACAGTAAATTTAAAAAACAAATTAAATTTTTAATGGAGTGTTCCTTTAAATCTCTCAATGGACAGTACAAGGCCACGCCAAAAGTGTTTAAGGTTTTTCTTGCTTTTTTGCATAGCCTATCCATTGAGGGGTTTAAAGGAACATTTAATTAAAAAAAAAAAAAAAACAATTTAGTCAATACATCTCTTTTCATGCTTTCTATGGGGGTATATGAAATTCTGACTTGCAAAAGTTGTAGTTCTGGTATCTACAGATACTACTCAATCCATCTTCATACCCAGCACAGACTTTTTGTGGCTGAGCAATCACAGGTGTTTCAATAAACTTTTTTTACATCTGATGGAGAAGTTTTTGCAAGGCAGGTGCTCTGGGCTCCATGCTGTAACAGGACTGGCTGTCTGATTGTAACAAGATTAATTTCTATTGAACTGAAGTGCTTTATGTAAGGTCCTTTTATGCTGTCCATGCTTCATTGTTTAGGTCCGCCGTGTGCTGAAGAGCCAAGAAGTGTATGAAAACTTCCTGAGGTGTATTGCTCTCTTTAACCAGGAACTTGTTTCTGGTTCTGAACTTTTGCAGTTGGTTACACCATTTTTAGGGTAAGTGCAATCATATTTTTACTTTATTCAGAAGATTTTTTTTTTTTTTTTTTACCACAGTTGTTTTACACTTAATGCTTGAAAATAGTCAAGTGAATGGCAGGTGTACGTTTTATTATATAGTCTCTCCATACCCTGTTTATTGTATGACGTTAAAAATAATAAAACAAATATTTATAATCTCTTTCAGTCTTGCTGGTAGAAACTTTTTTTTTTTTTTTTTTGTTCTGTGCCCTTCCTTCTTTTACGATTTAGCAAGGTGTCCATGTTGCATTAATAGTAGGTGCCCTGTTGGTTACAGAAATAAGATCAACAAAACGACCTCTAGAGACATTATTCAAATCTTATTTTATTTTACTTTTTTCCTGATCTGTGCTTTTGAATGCAAATGAGAAATTAAGAGAACAGGCACGTGTACAGTGATAGAAATGCAATTGTAACAAAATAAAATGCCCATTTTCCCTAGTCTTATCTTGCATGCCATTAATGTAGGGACCTTCATATCCCCTTGTGATAGGCCGGAATGTGAGCAGCTGTACAGATTCTGTTGGTGAATGTCTCCTCACTAGTGATGTGATGTTAAAACTCCTGGGATACGGGCTCTATGTATGAAATGTAATCATGTGAGAATCTGAAATAGGTTGTTGTAACAAGGATTAACAGCGACAGTTGTCACTGGCAATCACCCAGCATGCTCAGAGTGATGTACTGTTTGTGACTCACTAGCCTGCTGGACTATGTTAAGGAACATAATGTGTTATTCTGTGCTGAAAAGATGAGTAAAAAAAGAAAATTAAAACTTTTTAAAATAGATATTCTTTTCAGTGGTGTGTGTCAACATGTGATTCATTATTAGTATTTTTCTCTTCACATTTGTGAATATGTACTGAAAACAGAGGAAATTATTCAGAATTTAATACAATATATGTGTCGTAATTTGTTGTTGGAAATTGCTTTATACAATGGCTCAGAACCCATGATTTCAACTGGAGATGATTTTATTTTCCTTAACTAGTGTGCAAGGTATGATTTGTTTATTATTTCTTTCTTTTTCTTTTCTCTATGGTAAACATGTTTGTTTGAAAGCATTAGGCCCCCGTGTGCATACCAAACACTGACTAGGAACCTGTGCTAAAACATTCTCAGATATGTCTCCTACGTCTTGTCTGAAACGGCAAAATAAATGCTGCCAAATGGTAAAGTGATTGTAATAGAATACTTTTGTTCAATACCTTTTGTTGCACGTTGATGCCCTTTTACCATAGCAGGCAGTGCTTATGGTGCCATTGACAATGTCTGAAATCTAAGAGTGTGTTTTAAATGGAACCAAAAGCGACGAATATGCATGCTATTGCAGAAACATTACGATCTCAGGAAATTAAAGTAAACCTGACATCACGCTTTTCCAGGGTTCGACAAATCCCAGGCGCCAGGTCACCATAATAATTTGTGGATGTGTGAGAGAATGTATGTGTCTGTTTAGGTGACTGGCCCCCCTCCAATCCCATGGGAAATGTGTTTTACTCCCCTTTTTCTCATGAAGTGCTGCTGTCTCCATGGCTGGCTCGCCTCCATGACCTGAGATAATCAAGCTTGATGTTTACAGACAATCCAACGCTTTTCCATAGGAAAGCTGCGCCAAGCAGCATCTCGTCATAGAGACGCCTTGAATGCAATGCATCTCCATTTCACACTATTTCACACATTTAACTCTCTTCTTTGCCCTGCTGTTCCTCCTCCACCTACTAACTTGACCGCCTCAGAATTTGCAACTCACTTCACTGACAGGATCTCTAGAATCAGAGAAAAGAGATCTCATCTTTCTTCTTCCCCTTATAATACTTCCTCTAACTTCACTTCCTCTGCTGTTCTATGTTCATTCGCACACGCTACATTGGAAGAAGTTTCTGCTCTGCTCCAGTCCTCCCGCCCCACCACCTGTTCCCTAGATCCAATTCCATCGCATCTCATCCGTACTCTGTCTTCTTCTCTTTCTCCACCTCTCACTAAAATTCTCAATCTCCCTCTCTCCTCTGGTATATTTCCATTGCCCTTCAAACATGCAACTGTAACCCCAATTCTAAAGAAGCCCAATCTTGACCCTAACTCCCCATCCAACTATAGTCCTATCTCGCTACTGCCTTTTGCATCCAAGATCCTTGAAAAAATTGTGTATGCGAGATTGACAGACTTCCTCGAGTCCAACTCTCTGCTAGACCCGCTTCAGTCTGGTTTCCGCGCTAAGCACTCTGGAAACAGCACTGACCAAAGTATCCAATGATCTACTCGCTGCAAAATCTCGTGTTCACTACTATCCTTATTCTCCTTGACCTGTCTGCGGCTTTTGACACTGTTGATCAACAGCTTCTTCTCATCCTCTGCAATATCGGTCTACAAGATACTGCTCTCTCCTGGTGCTCCTCCTACCTCTCCCAGTGCTCTTTCAGTGTTTCTTTCTCTGGCTCTGCTTCTTCTCCCCAACTCCTCTCTGTTGGTGTCCCCCAAGGTTCAGTCCTTGGTCCCCTACTATTCTCCATCTATACTGCCTCCCTTGGTAAACTCATTAGCTCCTTTGGCTTCCAATATAATTTCTATGCAGATGACACGCAAATCTACCTGTCCTCTCCTGATCTCTCCCCGTCCCTCTTGACTAGTGTCTCTGACTGCCTCTCTGCTGTTTCTAACTGGATGGCTGCCCACTTCCTTAAACTAAATTTGACCAAAACTGAAATTCTGGTCTTTCCTCCCTCAAGTGTTGTTACTCCTGTCTCCCCCTCCCTCCAAGTCAACGGTGCTACCATCAGCTCCACCACGCAAGCTCGCTGCCTAGGTGTTCTCTTTGACTCCGACCTCTCCTTCAAGCCTCATGTTCAATCTATCGCCAAATCCTGTCATTTCCATCTCAAAAACATTGCGCGCATCCGCTCCTAATTAAAGCCAGATGCGACTAACGTGTTGGTCCATTCCACTGTCCTTTCTCGCCTTGACTACTGTAATCCGCTTCTCAGTGGTCTTACGTGCTCCCAACTAGTCCATAATGAATGCGGTGGCAAGGCTCATCTTCCTGTCCGCACGCACCTCCCAGTCCTCACCCTTCTGTCAATCCCTACATTGGCTTCCTATAAAATATAGAGCTCAATTTAAAATTCTGGTTCTTGCTTTCAAATCGCTACATAATGCTGCTCCCACCTATCTATCCTCCCTTACACACAAGTATGTCCCGTCTAGGCCCTTACGATCTGCTGAAGACTTAGGTCTATCTTCTGTCCGTACTCCCACCTCTGATGCTCGCCTTCAAGATTTCTCGGGGGCTGCACAGTTCCTGTGAATCTCGCTTCCCTCCTCCATTAGATGCTCACCCAGTCTCCACTCCTTCAAAAAATTGTTAAAAACCCACTTCTTCATAAAAGCATATCCATTAAACTGTTAATAGCTCCTGACTGATTCCTCTTCTGCAACTGTCATTAGTCTAATACTATCCTTACCCTTTTGTGTCATTTTACTCCACTCCCTCTAGCATGTAAGCTCATTGAGCAGGGCCCTCAACCCCTCTGTTCCTGTGTGTCCAACTTGTCTGGTTACAACTACATGTCTGTTCGTCCACCCATTGTAAAGCGCTGCGGAATTTGACGGCGCTCTATAAATATAATAATCTCCATGCAGAGCGTGGAGACGCTGAATGGAGGTGCTGAGATAGGAAGCACTTTAGTGGACGTATGAGTGCTGCTAGAGGTGTTACTGGCTAGCAATGTAAATACTGCCTTTTCTCTGAAGCTGTAGTGATTTTAGTGTCCCATTAAGAATTGTATTTTTGCCAATTTACAACATAATTAGACCCAGTTAAGGCACTACATTGTAATACTCTTTGATGATATCTAGTAATGGTTGCTTATCAAGTCTCCAAAACTCGAGAGAACTTATGTAAATGGTAATTCTTTTGTCTGTAGTAAGCCTTTTGTGCTTTTGTAACCCTCCCTATAATTATCCTATTATCCCCATACCCTTGTTACATGTTACTCTTCTATACCAACTGTGAAACCTTTATCTTGTCAGTGAATGTTGTTTGATTTAACCCTATATTAACCTTCCATAAGCTAACATACAGTAATAAAGACGTTTGCTACACCAAGAAGCGTTTTCTCCTCCTTCTATGATCAACTTGGAAAGCATAAATGAATGTCTATACAGACGATCTGTGGTGTGTCGGCACCTAAAATATACTAATTTCTATCCATAACTTGGAGTTATGTTGGATTGCTAAAGCTTGCTGTGTTGATATGTAAGGTTTTACATGGTCAATGCTTTCTCACAAAGTTGGTGTGTGTTTATTTACCAGGGCTGGCATCATGCAGTACACCTGTAAGTGGCCCGTGCCCCATATGGCATAATATATATCGATCTCTGTCTGAGGGGAGGGAGATCAAACAATTTCCCTCCACTCAACATTGCATGCTTCCACAGCTGTTGATGGAGCCCGGAAGGCTGTTTTGCGTGTTACTCTTTTGGATCCCAGCTTTCTCTCATGGACCTGTCTGTCAGAGACCTATGCAGGGCTCGCGACAGGAGCATGGGCATCTGGCAGAAGATGACTGAGAAGCCTCTACAGGGCCACCAGGGAATGTAGTGTTCCCACTCCCTGGCCTCAAATAAGAGTGGGGGGGGGGGGGTAATATTTAACTAAAAAAAAAAATTAAATGCAGTTCTCCTTCCTCCCCCCCTTCTCCCATCTCAACCCAAAAATATGCGCACTGCATATGCTACACACACACACTGAATTTCCTAAACATAAACCTACTGCAGCTCTAAGTGCCTGCAATATGGTGGTGGGCCCTGTAGGCGGCCCCAAAATTCCTCATGGGCACCATGGTATTTATATACTTGGCTAAAGATTTGTTTGCTACGGATTCAAATGGAAGCTTACAAAATTGTATGGTTTTGCTTCTAAAATGCAGTCTCTGTGCTTATTTGTCATCAGTCTATTTTTTTTTTAAATTTATTTTTTTTATTGTTCCATAGGAAGTTTCCAGAGCTCTTTGCACAGTTCAAGTCTTTCCTAGGAGTGAAAGAACTCTCGTTCACCTCACCAGTCACAAATGACCGTTCCAATGAAGGCATTGGACGTGAGATTGATTACGCATCCTGTAAACGCATTGGTTCCAGCTACCGAGCACTGCCCAAGACCTACCAGCAGCCAAAATGCAGTGGGAGAACTGCAATATGCAAGGAGGTATGTATATCACCTTTTTTTATTCAGTGTCAGAATTTGTTGATGCACATCATAGCATGGCTTACAAGAACAGTTGTTCATAAAAATAATTATGTAGTTTTTCTAAATTTTCTATTCTATAACTGTTTTTTGTTGTTGTTTTTTTTAATTCAAAGTTTTATTGCTGCTTTACCATATTATTTTGCACATGGGAAACCTGTAAAAAAATATTGACAATTGAATCTATCATGGGTGGTCAAACAATAGGCCCCCAACTTAAGGCTGGTAAACCCTCATGGGGATCTACCTTTTTTGCAAAAAATATTACATGCATTTGGTGTACAAAGGTCTAGCAGAAGCAGGCAAGTTTTGGCACTCCAGATGTTGTGAACATGACCTCCCTTATTCTGTGCCAACATTATAGCTGGGGGATATAGTCCACAACATTTGGGGTGCCAAAACTTGCCTGCCCCTTTGCTAGACTTGGTGTAGCAGTTTATTATACATGGGATGCGCATACACTCTCCACCATAGTATCATATCTTCTAGGCACTCGTACTTCAACGACTTGTTACAAGAGCTTCCTTTTGCGTTTCTAGGAGATGCTAACAATAAGACTCTATAATTAATGAAATTAGTGCGTGATAATATGCAGGTTAATTGAATCGGGCAAAACAAAGTTGTATTTAAGTTGGGGTTTTTTGTGTGTTTTCCAATGATTTATCAGAAACAGTTTTTTTGCTGATGTATGCTAATACAATTTTTTCACCTCTGGTCTCACACAGGTACTAAATGACACCTGGGTTTCCTTCCCAGCATGGTCTGAGGACTCTACATTTGTTAGCTCCAAGAAAACACCATATGAGGAACAACTTCACCGCTGTGAGGATGAGCGGTTTGAGGTAATTGAATTTATATCTGCTTGGGTTTAAAGGAACACTAGTGTCAGGAACACAAACATGTATTCCTGACACCATAGTGGTAAAATAGCTATTTGGGGTTCTGGCTCCTTTCTCTGTGCAGTAAAAGGGGGATGTTACTTACCTTTTTTTCCCCATGCTATAACTGTCTCGCCACAGATAGCCCCGTCGTTGCTGAGATCATCAAACCTGATGATCTCAGCCTGTCCAATGCTTTTCTATAGGAAATCATTGGGAGGCTATTGCACATGCACTACACCAATCAGCGTCTCCTTATGGAGATGAATTGAATCATTGCATTTTATGTGGAATGTTCAGCGTCTGAGTGACTGCCACTATAGGTGTCCCTAAGCAGTAATGTAAACACTGCCTTTGCTCTGAAAAGGCAGTCTTTACCTTATTAACGAACAGGGGCAGGCTAAAAAAACACCCAAATAACTACATTAAGCTACATCCCGGAAGAGAATAATTATTAAATAGCTTGCTTCATACTAATTGTATTTATTTTATAGCTGGTACCAGGTTTAGTTTTAGATTTTGAAGTTAAGCTACTAAAGACAATGTTAGAGAACCTGGACCTTATGCTTTTGTCAAAGAGCATGAAATTCTCTCTATACATTGGGCTGGGAGATTTGCTAGCAAATGTATAGATTGGGAGAAAAACCTATTTAAATATAAGGTGTTTTTTTCCCACCTGTTTTTTCAATTCTTGAATTGACTGACATGGAAGAGCAGATGAGACCTCCCACAGGTGGTCCTTTTATTACATAGCATGCGGTGTGATTGCTATAGTAACTCCCTGGTCCTCCCTCCTAGCAAAGGCTAGGGAGTATAGCAAAGGAGTGACTGACTTTACTGTGTTCAGATGCTGGCATCTCAGCCAACAAGTCTACATCTTAGAATAACTTTGCCGTGCTTGGGGAAGGCTGTCGCTAGTAAAGGTGGGTGCAAAAAGAGTACCACCCACAAATCTCTGCATATGGTGGTGCTGCAACAGAGTTGAGGTTAGTATATCTCAAAATTTTACATGAAATATATCATGTATCTGTATAATTTGCATTTGGAGTAGATTCAACGGAAGTATAAAAATGTATACCCCGTTCAGTTGACAGGGACACTCCACTGCCCAAATGTAAAATTAAAAAAAATCAATGTTTAGTGTAAAAATAAAATACAGTAAATTAGAACTTGCATGCATTTAATTATGCATTTTGTTTTTTCAGTGGGGGTAAATCTAAAAACAGCTTGCACATCTGTAAAAACCTGCAGTTCTCCAGTCTGCTGCCTTTGTAAAACCTCCCCTTCTAACCCCGCCCAGACTTTCTGTGGCTGTCCAATCACAGACTTCCCAATACAGATAATGAGAAGTCTTTGCAAGCCAGGTGCTCTGGGAAATTGCTGCCTTTTGATTTTACCTCCACTAAGCTAATCAAACCAGGAAGTAACAGGACCTGTGGTCTGCCTGAAAGCCAGGTGTGTAACCAAGTTAATTTATAAAAGTGTCAATTTCTGTTTAAATCTCCACTTTTTACAAAATGAAAAATAGGACACTTAATGCAATAGAGCTTTTCAGCAAGTTAAAGTGATTTAGGATCTGGAGTGTTCCTTTAAGTATTGGGGCAGAAATCTCTTACAAATATAAACACAATTTAACAAAATGATGATTAAGCCATTTGCATTGAGTATTTTATTGTATTATTATTTTTTTTACCATGCTTCTACTTTTCAATCTGCTTGCATTGCATTGTACAATGTTTTTTTGTTTTTGTTTATTTTGCTAACCTTATATATGTATTTCTCTTTAGCTGGATGTGGTACTGGAAACCAACTTGGCTACTATCAGAGTGCTGGAGAGTGTTCAGAAGAAAATTTCCCGTATGTCTCCAGAAGACCAGGAGAGGTTCCGTCTGGATGACTGTTTGGGTGGCACCTCTGAGGTCATCCAACGTCGTGCAATTTACAGAATCTATGGGGACAAAGCTCCAGATATCATTGAGAGCCTCAAGAAGAACCCAGCTACTGCTGTTCCCGTAGTACTGAAGAGGTGAGTGATTTGTTGTGCATTAAATGCAGATTATATCGCTTGAAGATCTGCAGAGTGCTCCTACTGAGAGTGAAAGCATTGGGATTGGCTAAAGGGTTTTAAATGCTTTCTGGGTAGGCACAGACCCAGGTGCAGATACTGCAAATTCAATCATGCAGCATTCACTTAATCAATATAATGTGTTAAATGTCAATTTCATTCCATATTGTTCTTTTAAACACTGCATTCAAGTTAATTGCAATTGAATCTTTAACAGAAATGCTGGCTAATGTGCATGGCTTTACATTTCTTACTACAAGCACATACAGCCAGTGTGCTCCATGAATGAACCAACCTACCACCAGTTGTAGATCTAATTACACAACGACCTTGCATTTTTGTTTACTGAGATATTGTAGGGTTTTTTTGGGGGTTTTTTTTTTTTTGCTCACCTCATATGTTGTACTACAGGTTGAAAGCAAAGGAAGAAGAGTGGAGGGAAGCTCAGCAGGGATTCAATAAGACATGGCGTGAGCAGTATGAGAGGGCCTACCTCAAATCTCTCGACCACCAGGCAGTCAACTTCAAACAGAATGACACTAAGGCCCTTCGTTCTAAGAGTCTGCTCAATGAAATAGAGAGCGTTTATGATGAGGTGAGCATTTCACATGGCTTAGTTCGGGATGTATTTGCATTTAAAGCTCTTAAAGTACAGTAAATTTTGGCTTTATAAGGCTTCAAAGAGTACATGGACTGGTGACATAAACCAACAGGTGGTAAGTGGATTATGGGCGTCACCAGAATCTCAAGTTAAGATATAGGTCATTTGTAGAACATTTACTGTTTTTTGTTGTTTGTTTTTAAGTACTTTAGTTTGATGATCAATGTTTTGCTGGTTGAAGTTGATAGAGTACATTTTGGTTTAAAGGGCCACTTCAAATGAATACACGCTCTTTCTTTCCTACAGATGTTTTGTTCAAGGTCTCTTTTTTCAAATCTGCACTTTTATAGCTAGTCCAGACAATGCCAAAGTTTGCTGTAATTAAAGGAGCGCTATAGAGTCAGGAACACAAACATGTACTCCTGACCCTATAGTGTTAAAAACACTATTGAGCCCCTCTATATATAGTAAAATAGTACCTTTTATTCCAGTCTCGTGGTGCTGGCTCTGCCCCTGATCTTTCTCCTTTGCTTACATCATCAGAAGTGATGGTCTCAGCCAATCACAATGCCTTTCCTCTGAAACAAACAGTGTTTACTGCAAGTAAGCCTGCAGGACTGTTTATACTTACCAGAACAAATACAATCAGTTGTAGTTCTTCTAGTGACTATACTGTCCATTTAAATGTAGTTTTCTATTCACAGAACCTAAAGACCTAGTGAGAGTCTAACATGAAATACTTCCACAAGAATATTTACACAAAAAGCTGAGCAAGTTTCCTTTTGGTAATATTTCCACTTTCAGATTAGGGATGTATACTGCACCATTGGTCTCTCTATTATTTTTCTCTTTGACAACTGGCAAAGTACCATACACATGAAAGATGGGGTGCTGCATTAAAAGCACAGCTGCATAGCAAACTATTCCTTATGGGGCTAATCACCTGATGCATAAATAGAAATAGATGGCCTTGCTATTCAGGTTTTATTAATGTTATTTTTTTTTCACTTGTTGGTTTAGACTTTTACTTTACTTTGTTATTAAGAAGGCTTTACTGCCTGTGCAGCAAATTAGCCAAGGTCCTTACTGTGATTTAATAACTGTGGGAGGACTCCGTACATATTTATGAGTATACTTCTTTCTCATCTTTTCTTTCTTCATGATTACTTTCCCCTGAGTAGCACACTACCAATACCGAATACACCTTATTTTTTTTTTTATATTTTTTTTTTACTTCATTTAGTAATGGGAGGGTTTGGAGACAGCTAGTAAAGCCTACTTAATTCCAAATTAAAGTAAAAGTCTAAACCTACAAGTGAAAAAAATAACACATTAATAAAACCAGAATAGCGAGGCCATCTCTATCTATTTATTCATCAGGTGAATAGCCCCATAAGTTTCAAGAAGAAATTGTGTAAATACTTTTGTATGCAGCGGTGCTTTTCAAGCAAGCAGCACCCCACCTTTCTTCTGCATGGTACTTTGCCAATTCTCAAAGAGAAAATAAATGATAGAGAGACCCATGGTGCAGTATATCAATGATCTGAACCTGTAGGATATTTATTTAAAGTTTTATTGAACATGTTTCAGCACGACAAAGAAATAAGTTAGTATAGGATTTTTATGTACACTATTTATACTTACAACTGCATTGGTTATGTTTGTTTTATTTTTTTTATATGCACCATGTGAATTTCTGTGTTTAAAAAGTTATTAAGGGTAAAAATAATTTTTGTTATAGCGCTATACTACAAATTTCTTTTGAATGTTTCCCGTAAAATGATTCATGGTCCATTGTTAATATTCGGGTGCAGGTCAAAGGAGGAATGCCTACATGAGTGATGAGCTGCTCTGGACTCTGCTCTGGACTTGGAAGCTTTCCTTTCTTTGTGTTTTCCCTGAATACATCAAATATAGAAAGGTTCTGTAAAAGTTCTCTGTGCACTAGTGTACACTACATACAGGTTAAAAATAAATGCTTCATTGAGCCATCTTTGCTATTAGCTGAAGGCCTTTCTCAGTTTTGCCATTTGGGCATTAACCATCACCAAGTATTCTGAAATCTTTTTCCTTACACTCATACTTTTATAGATCAGGTGGCAGTTATCATGAATTTCTCATTTTGTTACATATGTTCCCTGTTTCACAGCATCAGGAGCAACATCCAGAAGGCAGGACAACTACATCCAGCGGACCCCATCTTATCTACACGTATGAGGACTGGCAAATAATGGAAGATGCTGCATCCCTAATCAGTTATTATGTGAAAAGACAGCCAGCCATTCAAAAGGAAGACAAGGACACCATTCGACAGGTGCTGAACCAATTTATCCCTGAGCTGTTTTTCTCCTCACCCTCTTCCTGTCAGTCACTGTTTACTGGCACTTCGGAGGAGGCTCCAGCAGAGACCAATACTGACACTACTCCCATACCAGAGCTTCCCGAACGCCGGAGGAAGAGCACTACCCCAAGTGAAATCCAGGAACCCAGCACACCTACACGGACACCCCCTAAGCCACCTCCCAAGACCACAGAAGAGATGTACAGCTTGTTTTTTACAAACAACAACTGGTACTTTTTTTTGCGGTTGCACCATACGTTATGTGCTAGACTTCTGAGAATCTATCAACAGGCCCAGCTCCAGCTGCTGGAATACAGGACTGAGAAGGAACGAGAGAAACTGCTGTGTGAAGGCAGAAAAGACAAGTCAAATGGTCCAGCTATGGAGCTCCGACTAAAACAGCCCAGTGAGATATTTACTTTTTATTATTTTCTTGTTTTGTTACCATGATCATTTTTCCATTTAGGTACTGTATAATCTTCTTTTGTTTGATGTCTGAATTGTTCATCAGCATATTGTTAAAGGGGAATATAATAGAGGAAAGGAACATTGGTTTCTGTTCGAGAGAGCCAGATTGGGTGCTATATTTTAGCATACTGGAAGAAACCGTTTGCATTTAATTTAGTCTACATTTGTAGTCAATGGTTGCTGTAATATTAAATTAACTTTATGTTCAACATTAGTGTTCGAATGTTTATGCCATTCAAACTATATTTAAACTTTCTCTTTGCCTCTTAGTATGCCGCTTTTAGGGTTCCCCTGGAATATATGTATTTGTAGGAAGAGAAAAATAGGAGAAAAATGTTTTGACACAAGGAATACCTTATTGCCATAAAAATCCCCATGTTTAGTATTGTCTTTTATAATTGTAGTAATGTACAAAATAAACGGGTAACAATAAACGGATTACCGTTTTAAGCATTTGCAACATGTGGACATACATATATTTTCATGTTTTCAAAGTGATATGTCCTAATTTGTTACTTACGTCCATGAGACTTTATTGTATTGGACAAGGGCTTACATTTTCAAGTCTTAACCTTTAGTCTAAGATAGCCTAACTTATTTGGCATCGCAAACATTGATGAACAGCATCATGTCTTTGATGTGTCAGTGTGTGTGAATACTGTGTTCTGTTTGTGTGTGAATGAACCTGAGTATTTGAACCCATTTATCCCCTCCCTATTGCCATAGGTAGACTATTTGGTGTGTTCCCCTCTCCGCAGTATAACGCCGAGAGAACATCCGTTTAGTTTGCTCCATGTAATACTAATCAATGCTGCTGAATGTGGTGACACACATAATTCCATTGCAAACCACACACATCTGCAAATATTTACATGATCCATTCTCCACGTGGCTGCATTAATTTCTGCTGGTGACTGATACAGGAGCCTACAGAAAGCTTGGTGGCATCATTTTCACCCACAGTTTGTCTACATGTGCTGAGGATAGAAAAATTCCAATTCACTGCCAGCTTGCCATGTTTGATTTTCATTTATAAATCGCAAGTAGAATTTTGAGCCCTATTAGTCTTATCTTGGGTAGTTGGATAATATACATTTGAAAACGCCAACTAAATCTTGGGAGCAGTGACCATGTTCTGTCCGTTTTAAAGTGAATATTTATTACCAGTTCTTCTACTTAGTTATCTCCACTTACACCCAGTACTTTAAAACATAATAGACTATAAAACACATGAATATGAGTGGTAAGCGAAACGTGTGACGTCTCTACGATATTCTAGTAGATGTCTTTGTACTTCCTAAAGCACAGTAATATAGCCACACAATGCATATTATCTCAGCCAATCAAATCCTGTCTTGTGTCCAGTCACCCTTGGGAAGGCTAAATTCATTTTATGCACCAGTTAAGTTTGCTTGTTAATGTTGTCCATAGACTGACAGGTCCAAGGTTCTTCTGTGACCTGTTCAAGGCAGAAGCTATATGAGTCCTCGAAAACTTGATGCCCTGGACAGTACAAAGCTTATGACCCTATTCAATTACTCTCAAGGGAAGACCGCACCTCCTGTTACCTTTGTTTCAATCCTTGTTCTGGTCCCTTACGACAGATAGCTACTCTGTTCTCTCTTGCTATTATCCAGCCTTACTGATACGTAGGTCTTTTTCTGGAATGTTGGGATGGACTGATTTAATTAAGAGGAGACCAGTTGAATTGCATTTAACCCCTTCTTGACCATCAGCTAACATTTGGAATTCAATTAAAGGGCAATATTTGTATAGCAGCCACTATTAATAACTTGTTTACTAAGTATATATCTAGAGTAGCTTGTCCAACTATACACCTAACCAACTACTTACCTTTATCCCAACTTAACGAGCAGCGATCACTTATCTGGAAGTCACATGGTTGGGAAAAGCATTCAAAATCACCTAGAACTTGTGGGGGATTTTTTTGTTTGTTTGTTTTTTAAAATGAGATTCTTAGTTTTGTTTTAAATTGACATGAACAATTTAGCAAATGCCATCAGAATCCAGTTCAGGCAAGGCAAAGCTAGGGCAAGCGTTACAAATATAGAAATATGGTTTAATTACTCATCTTCTCTAAATGCTTTCTCTATGCTGACTGACAAATGCAAAGAACTGAGTTATTAACGATGACTGGCAGAGAGCTAAAACGGGGAGAGCATTTAATTTAATTTCCCCAAGCAGATTACAGGCAGTACAATCCCATATTGATTTATATATAAAATATACAATATAACATTCCCTAATCTCCTCCCCAATAGGTGTAGCATGGAGAAATCCCCCAGTTTACTGAGTTCTTGTCTTCAGCTGACTTTTTTTCACAAGTTTTCAACTTCTAAGTGCTGGTTGTTGTTTGTTATATAGAACAATGGACAGAATGTGTTTTTGTAAACCCAGTGCTCTTTACAAAAACTTTTGAAAAGGCACAGTCTCAAAAATATAAATTTGATGTTGCTTTCTATTTATGAATTTTTCTTTTCGCTTTTTTCTGATTCTAATAGGCAACACTTTTGAGGAGATATTTAGTGTAACCATCATTTTACTGGGGTAAATTGTGCAGGTATATATAAAATATACTCACTCTAAGAGCACTTCAAAGAATGGTAATTTTCCCATGATGCTCTAGTCATGTACATTACACCATGGAGTTAAATTCATTTTCGTTAAATGTTCTAGTTATGCCAGGACAAACAAAAATGTACAAAAAAACAAATCAAAGAATGGCACAACACTGCATGCAACCATTTCCTATTTAAGAACACACTCTAAGCACCATAATAACCTATGCTTATTGCATATGTTATGGTGCAAAGAGTTCCCTGTAAATCCTTAAAGGGACACCGTAGGCACTATCTGCTTCATCTCATTAAACTGGTTATTGTGTCTGGAGTCCCCTGGTACCATCATTTCTTTCAGCATTAAACAGTTTTTAATGTTGTAATGTTTTAATGCTAAACAAGTCCACATCAGTCTATCCCCTCTGTGCTGCTTTGACTAATAAGGAAGTATTACCCTGAGAGGCAATGGGCAGCTGTGATTGGCTGAGAGTGTCAGCTGACTGCTTTTAACCTGTCAGAGCTCCAACTGACGGTATGAATGGGTATGACAACAAGGAAGTGTGTAATCTTTGCCTTAGCTACACATACAGAAGGGGCCGGCCTGTGGGTGGCCAGGGACTCTTATTTTGTGGCATACTGCACAAACATGGTGCAACACTGAATGGAGGGACAGTGCCAGGCCACTCCAGGCACTATAACCAATTCAAAGAGACAAAGTGGTTATAGTGACTACAGTGTCCCTTTAAAGCATGTCTGTCAATTTCAGGGGTCTTTTCATATTTCGCAAAAAACAATGGACAAAGAGCCCACAAAAGGACAGAACCCATGTGAGTTTAGTGACCGCAAGGTGCAGGGGGAGTTCCTCTCTGGCACTGCCATCTTCCTAATGCAGGTCCTTTTCAGCGCCTGTCCCTTCTGCTGTCAGGAACTGCGAGAGTACCACACTGAGGTCTATGGAGGATACTACAAGACACCTGGATCCTCCTTGTACAAAGCCTGAATCCTACAGCCATAATTCGTGACTGCTGTTGGGATTGAACTAGAGTCGGTGGCAAAGCTCCTCCTTTTGTCAACCTCAGGTTTTACCATAAGACAATGTAGTGCCTATGTTGTCTTATGGTATCTCTGGATTGGCTTAATCAGTGTTTCATAAATGGAATATATTTATGAAATACTGAAAGTGACAAATCTACGTTTGTCTATTAAAGATTCCCCTTTCCACTCCGATGAAAACAAACTTTGTCTACATGGGGCACACACAATGAGAGCCCGGTCTGTTACTGTCCTGATAAAGTGACTGTAGAAGCCTATATATAACATGAGATCAAGTTATTGTTGTTTCAGTTGAGAGGAAGACGACTGAGATCACAAGAACAATTGTTCACTTTTGACATACTTAAACCTGTATGTTTTTGTGTGGCAATTTCTTTTATTTTATGTAATTTTTCGGCCTCTATAATTTCACCAATATTAAAGGCACTTGCACAGTACCATCACATTTATATAAGTTATTTAAGTTTAAAATTTTTACAACATTTTTGCTTCCTGTCTTCAATGTTTCTCCCATACAGTCGATAGTGTTTCCTTATTTGCTGCAAAAGTACTCTTATACATGATGCCATCACTTACTGCTGTACAGTTAATATTTATAAACCTCCAACAAATTCCATAGCGCTGTACACTAGGTGGACTAACAGACATGTATTGGCAACAAGACGAATTAGAAACACAGGAACAGATTGTGTGGATATCATTAAAATAATCTAATACTCCAACATTGAGTTTTTGTTTTTAAGCAGTGCATATTCTGGGTAGTGTTTCTTGTTCTGCCTTCCCATTCTTTTTATCATCTCAAGTTACAGGATCTTATGAGCAAGTTGCATGCACCCACTTTGGAAGTGTCCTTTTAAATCCCTATGCTGACATTTGTACCTGGTATGTTTGCTTTGGCAGGTGAGGTGGAATTAGAAGAGTTTTACCCTGCTTTCCTGGACATGGTGAGAAATCTGCTTGTTGGGAACCTAGACCCTACACACTATGAAGACACTCTACGAGAGATGTTCACCATACATGCTTACATTGGATTCACAATGGACAAGCTCATCCAGAATATAACACGGCAGGTGAGCCACGAACAGGAAGAATAACTATGAAAGCCTGCTGATGAGTTGCTGTAATGTATGCGTTAGTGATGAGAGGTGCAGGCCTCCATTCCAGCTGACAAGTAGACTTGTATTTTCTTGAAAAAAAACAAAACCTTGCAATTAGTAGATATTTATTGATACATAGTGGCCCTTCATGTCTATATTCTGTAAATGAGTTTCCAGAGTGAACAAGAAAACTTATTGAAATAAAAATAAACGTGAGGTCAAACTGATTTGTTCATCTGATCATTGAATTCCAGTCTTTTAGCTTTCTTATTTTAAAAATGTGTTTGAATACCATAACATAACTCAGGATGTCCTTAAATAAACAGTCAGGATTCATGTGATACTTGTGTTCCCAGCTCCACCATCTGGTGAGCGATGAAATCTGTCTGAAAGTGGTTGAGCTGTACCTGAGTGAGAAGAAGCGTGGGGGCGCTGGGGGAAGCCTGGTCTCCCAGTGTGTTCGAGCTGCTAAGGAAACCAGTTACCAATGGAAAGCAGAACACTGCATGGCAGATGAAAATTGCTTTAAGGTAAACCTGTGTTCATGCAGAGGAGAAGTGGAAGTTCTTATTAATTAAAAAGGAAACTGTGTATGCTTGTTTTAATTGTCACTTGTACTAAAACATGCATGGCGAGATGAACAGGTGTAGCATGCACAGTCCAGCATTATCCTCCAGTCACACCTCTGAGATGTCTCCTGCTTATCTTTCTGATGTCTCATAATGGTGGCAAGAAGGGCGCTGATTGGATGCCTCCCTCTCAACTTCCTGCTTTTTTTGGGGGGGTGGGGGAGGGGTGTTTGTCCTGTACCAGATTGTAAACAAGATAGGCCTTTGTGTCACAGGGTTAGGCAAACCATGGCAATTGATCTGCCTAGAACCGTGATGACTAACCTTGACACCATAAATTGTTTCTGGACTACATTTCCCATGACGCTCAGCTAGCTTTTAGACTCTAAAAGCTAGCTGAGCATCATGGGAAATGTAATCCAGAAACAATTTATGGTGTCAAGGTTACCCATCACTGGTCTAGAATGAGTTAAGGATTATTCATATTTGCCTCAAATGTGTATCAAGTTGCATCCTGACTGAAAATAGCAGCCTTATTTGGGCTTGTGGTCCACCTCCCTCAGTAGATTCCTTCTCACCTGTTAGACAAGAAAGGGGGGTTATAAGTGGCATTGCTGTATGAATCCAGTGATTGCAGAGAGGGCCTGAAACTAAATTTCCCCATTTCGGGATATTCACTCAGAGCTATTTCTAGAGCTCATAAACCCACTGTCTGTGTAAGATCGCCGAGTTAAGCTTATCGTGTCACTACTGAAGGCAAAACCATGGAGATGTTTCATTTGTAATTTGCAAAGCAGGCACAGCACATCTAAAGCTGTTTTATTGTCCTGCCTTAAAGTGGAAAAGTCATGCAAAACGTCACGGTTGACTTTATAAAGGACATTGTTAAATTTCTGTGCTATGTTAACAAAATGATGGTAAAATGCTAATTTATAAAATCTAAAGTGCGTAAATCTATGTATTCCACCAAAAAAGACCGTATATAAATAGCTCATTCTCCAAGAGGGAGAACTAGTGAGATATGTATATACCAGGAATTAGATTTTTCCATACGGACTATGAACTACCATGGGTTTATTGTTCATTCTCAAAAGTCTATTTTTTTGGGGTGGGTGGGGGAAGCCTAATGGAGCACGTTTTATTTAAGTTTGATTGTAGAATATATCAAAGGCTATTTTTGCAACTATTTGTGTGACCGCGCATTACGCTCACTTTTACTGTTCTTGCTTTTAAATCCTCAGCACAACACACAAATGACATTAAAATATGTATTTCACATACTTTACCATTGTTTGTTTTTTCTTCTGTTGCAAATCATAAATGTTTTAGGAATCATGACTTTAAAATGAGGTTCAGATCAAAGAATCCAACATTAAAACAGTTTCTTTATCAAAATTTTACAGAGAATTCTTTTTAATTTAACTGTGTGTGTGTGTATGTATTTCTTTTTAATATATATCTTTGTTTGCAAGCATAATGAAATCAATGAAAATGTGGAATGCATGATACATGTGGTGTCAGATGTTATTTTTATATTTAATTTTCTTTGACTTGTTCACCGAACTTGAAACCAGTTGCATGATTGTAGGCCGTGGTGTGCATTCAGTAAATTCTCTGTGACAGAGTTGTTGAGGCAAAGAGAGCTGACCAGTTGATATGGAATTTTGTCTTTTGTCAGGTAATGTTCCTGCAGAGACAAGGCCAAGTAATCATGACAATTGAGCTGCTGGATACAGAAGATGTACAGAATGAAGATCCTACAGAAGTCCAGGTGAGGGTCTGCTCTCTAATTCAATTGTAATTACGTGGGGTTATCCTTAGTGTTTACTTGAAGTAGAAATTCATGGAAAATTTTGTTCTGTATAATTATTTCTTGGCAAAGTCATAAAGGAAACAAAGACAAAATTATAGTGAAACGCTTATTGAGTGAATAATAGTAAAGTCACACTTAATACCTTATAAATATCCATCAAATTTAAAAAAAAAAAAAATATATATATATATATATATATATATGACCCTATAGTATGAAGCCTTTTTTACAAATATTTTTGTGTAAGAGTGACAATGGAACACTCATCTCTGGTATTAATAGCTATATGGTCTGTTACGGTGACCCTTCCCCTTCTAGATGTAATTTGTCATGTGGCGTGACTCAAAAGGGTATATACATAGATTAGTACTGTATTGTGATCTTTTATAAAATCAATATAAAACCAGGGTAGTCACTAGTAAAGAGCCTCTAGATAGGACTCAGAGTAAGCACATGTGCGGCAGGGACTCACGATCAGCCTTCCTGCGATTCCGGTTTCCCTGTGAAGTGCAGGGAGACGGATCAGTGCTTATCCTCTTCTCCCTGGAAAAAATAAAAAATTTTTTTGAAAGTTAAATCCCACCCCCCTCCCCCTGCTTTAATAAAATGAACCCCTTCCCTGACAATTGATCACTGACCACAGTGATCAATTGGCAGGGATTACATTTTATTGTCATCTGATTTTTATATATATATATATATATATACCACTGAATATTTAAAATTAAATATCTAACTGGGATGGGTGGAAGTTAGTGGGGAATTGGGGGATTTGGCGTTAGGCTAACTAGGGGTTAACGTTAAAGTTTTTAAATAAGCTTTAAAAAGTTTTGAAAAAAAAATGTTATAGAAACATAGAATCTCTTTCCTCCAAGCTATACATGTTAAGATCCTTTAACCTTTCCTGGTAAGTTTTATCCCGCAATCCATGAACCAGTTTAGTAGCCCTTCTCTGAACCCTCTCTAAGGTATCAATATCCTTCTGAAGATACGGTCTCCAGTACTGTGTACAATACTCCAAGTGAGGTCTCACCAGTGTTCTGTACAATGGCATGAGCACTTCCCTCTTTCTACTGCTAATACCTCTCCCTATACAACCAAGCATTCTGCTAGCATTTCCTGCTGCTCTATTACATTGTCTGCCTACCTTTAAGTCATCAGAAATAATCACCCCTAAATCCCTTTCCTCATATGTTGAGGTTAGGACTCTATCAAATATTCTGTACTCTGCCCTTGGGTTTTTACGTCCAAGATGCATTATCTTGCACTTATCCACATTAAATGTCAGTTGCCACAATTCTGACCATTTTTCTAGTTTACCTAAATCATTTGCCATTTGGCTTATCCCTCCTGGAACATCAACCCTGTTACATATCTTAGTATCATCAGCAAAAAGACATACCTTACCATCAAGACCTTCTGCAATATCACTAATAAAAATATTAAAGAGAATGGGTCCAAGTACAGATCTCTGAGGTACCCCACTGGTGACAAGTTCAAGCTTCGAATATATTCCATTAACTACAACCCTCTGTTGCCTGTCACTCAGCCACTGCCTTACCCATTCAACAATATTGGAATCCAAACTTAAAGATTGCAGTTTATTGATAAGCCTTCTATGTGCAACAGTGTCAAAAGCCTTACTGAAATCTAGGTAAGCAATGTCTACTGCACCACCCTGATCTATAATTTTAGTTACCCAATCAATAAGATTAGTTTGGCATGATCTCCCTGAAGTAAACCCATGTTGTCTCTGATCTTGAAGTGTTTTTAGATGTTCAGCAATCCTATCCTTTAACATGGTTTCCATCACTTTCCCCACTACTGAAGTAAGGCTTACTGGCCTATAGTTGCCCGACTCCTCCCTATTACCTTTCTTGTGAATGGGCACAACATTCGCTAACTTCCAATCTTCTGGGACTACTCCTGTTAACAATGATTGGTTAAATAAATCTGTTAATGGTTTTGCTAGTACACCACTAAGCTTTTTATTAACTTTTATTTATTTTTGTAACCCTCAGGGGTTCAATTTATTTAATTAATTTAAATATTTTATAATTATATATTTTGCTAGCTGGGGTGGGTGGTAGTTATGGGAAAATGGGGAATTTACTGTTAATGCTGCTCACTGCTAGTTAGGGGTTAACGGTAAAAGAAAAGTTTTTTTTTTTAAATTTAAAAGTGTAAAAAAAAAAGTTAAGAAAGTTTAAAACATTTAATAAGTAAAAAAAAGTTTTACAAAATAAAAAAAATACATTAAAAAAATGCTCATTACCTCTACACTTGGAACATACTAGCGAAAAAATGATCCCACACTAAGGTTCACAATATGCCTTTTGAATTACCCGTGGTGTATTCTTTAATAAATAGTATGTGTTTGTGGGGAAGTTTGAATAACCAGCCAGCTAATCCACAACAAAATGGAACATGGGCACAGCGTAAAACTTCAAAGTTAGAAAAAAAACTGTGGCTGCGTCTCAAATGTGCCCCTTCAACATCCACATACACCTGGCAAAGGTACATACGGGCGTATTGCTGTACTCAGCCGACATAGCTGAGCAACATATAAAGTATTATACAGTCGTAGCACACATAAGGTTTGCAAAATATACTGTGCAAACTCACTTTGTGTGTCAAAAAGGCAGAAAAAATGCTTATTACCACTACACTTGGTACAAGCTAGCGGAAAAATTATCCCACACTAAGGTTCAAAATATGCCTTTTGAATTCCCCTGGGATGTCTTCTATAAGAAATGGTATGCCTTTACGGTGTAATTGTAATATGTAGCCTGCTCAAATGATCCAAAGTGGGACTCTTATTTGAACAGTCCCACTGCTATAATACCCTAAAATGAGACATAGGCCCGTCAAATCCATCTAGGAAAATTCTAACTATAGAAACTGAAATAGCCTTGTCTCTTATATGGCATTGTAGCTTTACAGAATAGTGCCAAAGGCATACAATGGGGGTATCGTTATACTCGGCAGATGTAGCTGACGCAATATGGGGTTGTGTGCAGGAAAAGCACACACCAGCTTTACGAAATACACATTACAAAAACTTTGTTATATGTGAATATGCCAAAATAGAGAAAAAACACAATTTTACTCCAATATTTAGCAGAGGTTGGCGATGAAATGGTTATTTAAAAAGTGTCAAACTAACCTTAGGTAAATAGTCTGTGATGTATATAAATATATACTTTTGTGTGGCAATTTTGTTTTCTGTGATGGCCACTAAACCTACAAGACAAACGTACCAACTTCTAAACTTGTTTCACATTACAATTTTATTTTAGTCCTTGTATTTTGTGACCTGTAACTTTCAAAATAAGCTGAAATCCTATACATATTATGTATTCTATAAATCAAGACACATAAATTAATTTATTTTGAATTACTTTTTCTAAGCTGGACATATTATGCAAATGCTACTATTGCCAAAACCGTGAAAAGAGATTTTTTTTTCCCCCCCATTTAGTTGCTTTTTTTTTTTAAAATAATTAATGAGAATGTATCTATGTAAATGTGACATAAAATTGAAGCCCTATTTGTCCTCTGAAAAACGGTATATAATATGTGTTGTTGCAATAAATGACAGAGATGCAAATTGCGTTTGAACACAAACCGCAAAAATGGCTTGTGTCCTTAAGGGTAAGACAAGCTTTTGAAGCTGTGTCCTTAAGGGATTAAAGGGAATAATTGGGAGCAAACACGGATGATCTCCAACTTCGCCAGGAGCTTATCACGTTCCAAGCCTCATTTTCATTGCGTCACTTCCAGAATTTCCAATACGTAATCGGATTTATAGAGGCTTGCGTTTCAATCTTGTATGCACATTCCCATGGCTACAAGATCGGAACAAGGAGTCCATAAATAGATTGTCCATTGATAACCTGAAATAAAGATTAAATGGTTAAAGGGTTGTTACATATAAAAATATTTGAAGTACTTATATATTTTTACTCTGAAAAGGAAAACATTTTTTTTTTTAAAACAACCTTTTATGAGAAATTCTTATATAACTTTTAGGTCTTACTTATGAATTATCAGAGGTAACTACAAGATAAATTGTAATAAAATGAATTGAATATAGAAATGTAAAGAAATAAATAAAAAGACTAAAAATACCTTATATTTAAGAATAAATATATACTGAACTTGGTTATTACAAAAATACCTCATAAAAAAAAATCTATATATTGGATGAAAAGAGGATAATCTAATAAGGAGAGAAAATGTATAATAAAGTCATTAATAGTGAAAAATTTATAAAATATTAAAAATGGTTTATAAAAAATGGTGAATCTCAAATTCCTGATTAAGACCATGTGGGATAAGGGTTTATAGATCCATTTCATTTCCTTTTTACTTAATCTCTGATTGAAATTTCCTCCTCTCCACTCATGAGAGATGTTATTTATACTCATAAACAGCATCCCTCTTGGATCCTGATTATGAAACGTTTGAAATGGGCCGACACGCTGTGATTCTCAAATCCTTTATTTATACTGCGTGTATGTTCTTCTATACATGTGTGAAATGGCTTAGTAGTCTTACCCACATAATCCAGACCACATGGACATTTAAAAGATAAATGATATTTTTTCAGTAGCATGTCATGAATTCTTTACATGTCACCTTCCTTTGTTTTAAATTGAATTATTCTCCTATGGTTTTCTGTTCTTTTACAAGCTAGACATTGCCCACGGCCATAGAAACCTCTCTGAGTATTAAAGGTTATAGGTTCTTTTTTTCTCAGTTTTAATATAACTTTTTTTAAATGTACTTTTTAAATTATTTACTCCTCTGTGGGGGAAAAAATGGGGTTATTAGGTAAAAAAAATGGCAATAAAAGGGTCTTCTAATAAATAACGTGCCAATATTAATACATTTTTCAATTTTCTGTACTAAAATTACATATAAAATGTACATCCTCTATTGTTTCTCTTTTATTGTATCTTCTAATAGATTATTTTCTATATCTTTAATATCGAACCTTTACTTTTCAAATATTTCTTCTCCATATCCCTTTTCTAAGAAATCTTCAATACGCGAGGACTGTTTTTCATAATATCTATCTGTTCCTCCTTATTTATATTTTAAAGTCTTAAAGACCAGTCACCACTGAAACCAACTGTTGTATAAATTGCTCCATTTATAGAGTTTTGTCACAATTTTTACATCTATTCTATCCATTTATCATTGCATTCCTGTTGATCAGTAGGAGCATTACAATGAACAATTGTGTTTTTGGGATGTTGTGTTTTTGCCCTGACCATTGTATTGCTGGCTTCTCGGGGATTGATTGAATGTATTCTCAATTTTGCAGCACCTGGCAAATTATGTGGAGCAGTTCATTAATGTTGAAGGAGGCCAGAACAACCAGAGTGAAGGTTTTTTACTGAAACCTGTGCTGCTGCAGAGGTGAGTAGATCTTGTTAGTGTGCCATATAAACTCATAAAGAGCACTATGTATAATGATATAAGTGTTTCTCGGCTGCTTTTACAGAAATATTCTCATATTATTGGTTTTACTCTACCCTGCTGTTTTGACAGAAATTAAGAAGCAGAGTGCAGAGCACATCAATAGCCCTCTTCCTAGTCGTGACAGAGTCTACTAGTTGCCATGCAGACTGTAGTTGTTTGACTGGCACTGACTGAATTTCTGATAACTCACACTGTATTGAATAAACCTGTCAAAATCCAGATAAAGCTAAACAAAGAGAATGAAAACATTTAGGCCACCGTAGTTGAATTGGATAGAAATGTTTACGATAGACTGAGCATTAAAAAAAAAAAAAAAAAAATCTGGACAAGCGACTGGAAATGTTTATCTTGGTTTAAAACAAAAGAAAAAAAGTTTTTTTTCAAGCCTTTCAATCCTATTGATGCGTTTAAAGAGGAGTGGTCACTTCTCGGAAGCTTCACCATTAAATGAAACACTGAAAGTCCTCTAAAAGTTGTTTCACCCCCTTTTACGTTTCCCAACATTACATAAGTTTAAAAGGGAAATTCTAACTTCAGGAATACAAACTGTAGAGTTTCCACATGCATATTTAGATCCCCCACCCTTTTAATCCTGAAATAAAGATTTACTCACCTTTCAACCCTTGCTGTTGCCACTCCCACCCCTTTAAATGAATCTGTAACGATGATCTCAGCTGCCAGTCCAATGCTTCTCCATAGAAAAGCATTGGGAGACCTACCTCGCATGCATGGAAGCTGCCACACTGCACCAATTGGTATCTCCTCCTAGAAATGCATTATATCACTGCATCTCTATGATAAGTCCATAAATCCCAAATAGGACAGGTATTGCTTTGATAAATCCACCCTGGACTCTTCTGTTTAAGCCTCCTGTACATCTCTGCTTATTAGAATCAACTAGTCGCAGGGGTAGGCAACCTTTGGCACTCCAGATGTTGTGGACCACATCTCCCACAATGCTCTTACACCCATAATGCTGGCAAACCATCATGGGAGATGTAGTCTAAAACATATGAAGTGCCACAGGTTGCCTATCTTGATGGAGGCCGAGAAGCTTCGTGTTCATTTGCTGGTCAGTGGTTGTGTGTCAACATAGATTGCCTTGCGTTATTAATGTTGCCCTTGTATGGATTTTAATTGTTCATGTTACCTCTACATAGAAATGTCCGAAGTTTCAACAGCTGGCAGTGCAGAACAATGAAAGTAATGAAAGATGAAGTAAAGTCTTCTTGGAAGAGGCTGATGGGAGTGGAGAGTGCCAGCAACATGGACTGCCGTTTTAGACTCAACAGTCACAAAATGATGTTTATAATTAACTCTGAAGACTATATGTACCGCTGGGGAACACTAACAAGGGCCAGAGAGGTATGGTTTCACATGTTATTCATTCCTGAGAATGGACCTTTCTATAGGTTCTTAAAGTACAAATGGCATTATTCACTGTAGTATCAATTGCAGGGAATTTAAAGTGGATTTCCAATTTAGGGCCAAAATATTCCAACTACAAACAGGGCTGACATGGAGAAATTTTCCAGTTTGCGAACTGTGGCCTAAAATTTTACATTTGCTTTGAATCCCTGATAACTCATACCTTGCATGAAAAACCTTATATGTCCGTAATGTGGAAAAGTGTGGAAAACATTGTTATATTATCTTGCTGCTATACAGTGCTTCTTGCAGATGAAATGGTCTACACAAAATATGCAAAGACTCTTTAAACCTATCCATGTGACAGTGCCTCTAACCACTTGTCCCTTCTTTTTGGGGACTCCTTACATATCAGGACATCAACATCATTTCCCTAACTCTGTGTGGCTGACTTCCAGATATTAACTCTTTCAGGATCAAACACTGGAAATACATTAATAACATACCATGTAGGAAATTGAATTAAGACTCAAACACCTCTTTGGCAGAAAATGTAAACATGATGTGATGACTTTATCATATATGATTAATAGCTCCACACTGTCTGCAGCCACATTGATATTAAACCACATTAATCTCTGATATGTAATTCCTTACTAACTCCCTAAATGGCTGCACAATGGCATATACGTGACACTAACTTCTTCAAGAATAAGTGAAGATTTATTTTCACATTGTGGAAAAATGTGTTTAAAGGGACACTCCAGTGCCAGGAAAACAATCCGTTTTCCTGGCACTGCAGGTGCCCTCTACCTCCCACCTCCCATCCCGGTTGCTGAAGGGGTGAAAACACCTTCAGTCACTTACCTGAGACCCTCGGCGGTGGTTTTGGGTCGCCACCGCTCCTCCCCTTCCTTACGTCAGCCGGCAGGGGAGACTGATCCCGCCCGCCAGCCGGGCAGACCTAGTGCGCATGAGCGGCAATGCTGTGCACGCGCATTAGAGCTCTCCATAGGAAAGCATTGAAAATGCTTTTCAATGCTTTCCTATGGGGAATTGAGCGACGCTGGAGGTCCTCACACAAAACCTGTGCTATAGACACGGAAGTGCCCTCTAGTGGCTGTCTAGTAGACAGCCACTAGAGGAGTTAACCCTGCAAGGTAATTATTGCAGTTTATAAAAAAAACTGCAATAATTACACTTGCAGGGTTAAGGGTAGTGGGAGTTGGCACCCAGACCACTCCCATGGGCAGAAGTGATCTGGGTGCCTGGAGTGTCCTTTAAGTAAATTTGTTTGGATATTGTGATTAAACAAATGACTGCTCTCAAACGGAACTAGGGTCATTAAAAAATAAATAAAATATATATATATCTATTTGATAGGATTTAGTGTAAGTAAATATTTACCACGAAGCTGTAGACTTTATATGTTTTTACTCCTCGGATGTCACTATGAGCGTCATCATCTACAGCAGGGGTTTCCAAACCAGTCCTCAAGTACCCCCTCTACCAGTCCAGGATTTAGGGATTACCCTGTTGTGTCTAAAAAAAAATATTTTTTTTCTTTTCTAAAAACACCTTTGACTTAACTGGGTAATCCCTAAATCCTGAACTGGTAGAGGGGGTTCTTGAGGACTGGTTTGGGAACCACTAAACATATCATCCTTGAGTGGTTCCGGGAGATCAGTTTAAAAATCTATTGTTAATTGTGTGTGAACTATTGGTTTTGTATGTAAAGCTAAACTCCTAATGCTACTATTAACCATTTCCAGTTCCAGCCAATGGTCTTCCAGAAGCACCATGAGAAATTTAAAGCCTGGCACAATCGCTGGCTGCAGGAAAACGTCAGCCCCAGAGCAGCCGAACTTGTGCAAGACTGGCTGACCGGTGAAGAAGACGAAGACATGGTTCCCTGCAAGACTGTATGTGAATTCTCAGACGTTCACGGCATGACGGTCACCAAATACAGAGTTCAGTACAGCCGCAGAGCTGTCTCTCCTTGACACGTATTCACCACCACCAATTTCTATTTCCTGCTTCTTCTTTTATTTTTTTTTTATTTTATTTTTTGGAGGGCTGCTTTTTTAATTTATTTATTTTTCTTTTTTAAAGGAGCACCTCATTGACATTGAGGTTGCTGGACGTTAACGCCAGTTCTATCATTGTTGACTGTAATAGTCAAGATACTCTGTGCTTAATACCATCACTAGCAGCTGAGCTAGTCTATGAACTTGTCTTTTTCAGGCAATCACATACATCCTGAAAGTTCAATCAGTGCAAATATTGGTTAATCATATGCAGGAAAAGGATAATGAAATGAGTCATTGTTTTAATATTACAATGAAAAATGCCATGTTATTTGTTAGTAAGATCAAAATCTTTTTCCCCAGGAAAAATTCCACAAATAATTTAAAATGAAAAAAGAACTCTGAGAACAGAGAGAGTGCAGCTGGTTTTAATCCCTTAATGACCGTGCTAATCACTATTCTATAAGAGAACATTTTACCTTGATTATCCATTCCTGAAGGTGTTCTCTTTGCAGCTATTCTATTTAAACTGCTTCTTTCAGCCGCTTTGTATGATTTTGGTGCGTTTTGATTATTTAAAACTAATGAGAATAAATGTAAAAGATACTTCCTTCCTCTCTTATGGAACAAGCAGCATTAAACCTTGAATTTGAAGCACTTGTATATGAACAGTTTTTAAAACTTGTTCCGTTAACCCCAAACTCTGGAAGTGTGGCTTCAGTATTTAAAATTCAAAAATAGTAATTATGAGAAAAAGAGGATTACGTATTCCTATGAATTATTATATAGTACCACAAATCATGATTTTTTTTTAAGGGTTTTTTGTCTATATTGACTTGCATAATGGTTACATTAAATAAAACCTGTGCTTTAAAACCGGTAGAGTGTGCTTTTTCGTGACGTTGTCCAAAGATGATATGATTTTGTTTTTTTAAATTATTTTATAAATATATATTTCTATCTTGTGGCTTTACTAATAGACTTTGTTGATTTTTTTTTTATTTTTTTTTAAATAAAAAAAAAAACATTTTTAATTGTACACAACATATACAATTTGTTATACATAGTTGTCATCAACATCAGTATTTTACAATAAATATTTTCCATTACATACGTCACTGACATACAAGAGGGAAAAGGATAATTAAAGTGGAAGGGGGAAGGAGGGGAAACTGGAGCTGAATAACCTGTGGTTGATCATCATGTCTTATTTAAAAACCTGAATTCATGATTGATAGAAATGTATATATTTTATATGCTTTTTTTTTTTTTGTTACGATAGGCATTGATTATCTCAATCTATGGGTACAGCTCTTCGATCATCTACAAAACCTGGTTATGTAATCTTCCAAGGGAGTACCTTGTTATAATCACCTAAACAAAATCTTGTGTTTTTACAAATCTGTTTTTTATATATCAATCCCATTTGGACCAGGCTTCCTTCCAAAAGGTTTTTTTGTAGTTTAGTTTGTCTAGCCATTTGTTGATTTTTACAGCACTAGTGGGACTGCCTGACAGTCCACCTGCAGGCATGTGATCGCTCTGATGAGCAGTTGGATTTAATAACTAGCTGATTCTCATTTTGGCAGCAATAAACCTTTTTGGAGTTGTGGGAGGGATTTACCTGGTCTATAAAAACCAAAACCTTACCTCCCTTCTGGGCTAACGTCGACTGGTCACTTCTGGTTTCGCCAAGAATTCCCTCGTGGTTCTACCAGACCTACCTACAACCAGGACAACGGCCAGGCGCTCCAGCATGCCCTCACACTGCGCTTCACCGACACCAGCTCCAAACTGCAGGAACACGATCGCTCCCAGCACCGCTGAACTTCCGGGGCACCTTCCCGTACTTCCGGGTCGGCTACGAGACACCCAGTAAACAGTTAGTACATACGAATGCGGTTAAACTCAAGAACAGGGGATGCATGCGCACTAATGCAATTACACTTAAACATATAACTCACACATAAACAAATTAGATAACATACCAACAGGCACGAACATGGGAAAAAACAAACAGTCATTCTCCTTATACATAGTTGTTCGAACAGACGAAACCCATACGGCTACTCTCACCTCGTAACAAAATGCAAGCTTTCAGTTGGGCTAAATCAGACTTACAAACTCTATACAAAAACATGCACCAACACTGCCCTCTATGGTAAAAAAATTACTAACTACACGTAAATCCTAAAATAACATTAATGCGGTGATAATTATAATTGATTTCACTGGGGCAAACAAGGTATGCAGTCAGGGCATGAGGTGGTTAATTAAATATAAACTTAATTATGCATTGTTTAATTACGCTTTGTTTAAGTGTGTTTTGCTCAAGTCAAATAAGTGAATGGCTAACATAAGTAATAAACTTAAAGGTTAAATATTGTCAATCAGTCAGCACAAGCATACTTTGCTCTATAATGTAGAAGACATTACGTGCAATCAGGTCATACAAACGCTCAAGTCAAGAAACATACGTACAAACTTCATAGAATTTCATAAGTACAAACAATCTCTCACCAAACCTATAGTTCTATTCACACCTAATCACGTGAAAATTAAACATAAGCTTAATTTCAATTTCAACCTGCTAGGTCTAGAAATAACCCAACCATACTTACAACCCATTAAGAGGAGAATCTGTTTACCCAGGTATGTATCACTTTAAACTAATATTAAACACTCACACAATCATAGTGAAGTTACCAACTACAGTCTTGGTTTCTACAGGTGGTACATACCAATAAATCAGTTATCCTGTCAAGCCATAAGATCCCTTCTAAAAAGTTAACAGGTATGCTATGTCCTTCATACCTTTTACCCCAAAGCATCGTTAACTGGCAGTTAGGGTACTGGAATGGCTCCAGATACAGGTAAAGGTACTTTGGAAATTTCCTCCAGACCAACACCCATCCTCACATAGAGGTATTTTCGCCCAGCGGTCTAAGTCATAGATATAGCAACACTCTGCTAAGTGGTTTAGAAAGGGCATCACCTTCCTTATCCTTTTTACCAGTTATCAAGTTCCCCAGAAGCTGACACCCTGCCTACGTTTTGATGCACAGCACAGCCAAATCATAGACAGCACCACTACCAGCCGCTTGGCAATTAGCAGGGCCTCACCATCTCACAAGTAGTTAAGTTCTTTGCCACCCGGTATTTAAAGAGACGCCTGTTAACACAAGTCACAAATATCCATATCGGGATAAGACTCACATTTAAATTTCATTATAGCATATCTCACGTGTCAGACCAAGGAAAGGACTTCCCCTACCCAGCACGCCAGCTAGACCACCCACTCCAACTACTGCCCCTACATCAGGCTAAAATCAAGACCCTGCAAGGCCCTGTTCTTTAAGATCATGGACGATCCCAAAGATCGCCAAGGAGCTGAGGTGTAGAGGGATACCTTATCCTGCCACAGCCAGAAAGGCAGAGTTATACAGAATTATGATGACCAGTACCCAAGATAACATTTACGACACCCTAACAGGGATTCAGACCACAATGACAGCAATGCTGTCATCCATAAATAATTTGAACCAAAGAATGGAAATGTTGGAATCTCCAGCACCAGCCAGGGTGAGTCCCCCAGATAACCCTCCTACACAAATCATCAAACTGTCACAGGTACACAGATTTCACAGGGTTCCGATACACATATCGTCACACCAGCACAAATTGTCCTTGCCAACATCAAGAAAGACATATTGGAGGGAAAAGATGTAAACCTCATGTCCTTACTGATTGCATCACAAGACGTACAACTACGGTGACCTGGCAGTAGTGCTAAAGGCCAAAGATCATAGGCTAAGTAAGAAGTTGTCCATACCACACTTTGTACTAGCCTTCGGGTTGTATAGAGATGTAATATACTGCAACTTTCCCCAACGTAGAGCGGAACTGGACTTGTACAAGTTGGTAGATCTGGGAAACAAGTATGGTGGTACCAATTTTTACAAGTATCGCAAATAATTTTCAGCCAGGGCAGCAGCCACCTTTGCGCAGTTCAACATCAGGATAGATTGGAGTTACATGGATACTGAATTGTTTTGTCGCCACTTTGCCAAGCTAGTACCACTGGCTTTTGCAATTTGCTCTTCAAACTCTCACTCAACCAATTTGTGCTCCAACGAGCCCAGTTTACCCACCACCACTAGTTACATCACCCTTAGCACTAGTAGAGCTGAACAGAAAGGATTAAAAGACAAGCTGGAGAGACCTATCGTGTTTTTGTGCAACAAACGTCAATGCAGGAGGCTGCAGTTTCAGCGCCTGCAGGTTGTTGCATGTCTGCTCTATCTGTTACCGAGCCCACGCTAAGACCATGTGCCCAAACCGCCTCTTCCCCAGAAAATGATTGACCGAAGTTCAGGTCGACACGTTGGCTTTTTACCTTAACACTCACTCTTCACAGGATTTAGTACAATTCCAAGATCCAAAAATAGTATAGTTACAAACATATACCAGTGAGGGCGCTACTATCACAAATGTGCAAATGTAACTGCCATTCAGATCTTTGAATTTGGCATGTAATAGAAAACAAAAGAGAAAATATACAGTTGCAAGAAAAAGTATGTGAACCCTTTGGAATGATATGGATTTCTGCACAAATTGGACATAAAATGTGATCTGATCATCATCTAAGTCACAACAATAGACAATCACAGTCTGCTTAAACTAATAACACACAAAGAATGAAATGTTGCCATTGAACACACTCAACTGAATAACCCTTTCAATGCTGGCTAGATCTCCTAGGTAATTAAGATCTATTCTTACGTAATTTTAAATAAAATAAAATTTAAACCAGTTCATTAGTCATTTCCTGGAACCATCCAATAAGAGAATCTACCAGATTTTATAAGCAGATTTTAATTTGTCTAAAAGATATCTTATCTTATATTAGAGCAAATCAATACACCTGGATAAAAACAGCGGTATGCTAACATGTGATACTATCACATTAATATATAATTATTCTTAATTCCACCTGCAGAATGGAATGTTTATAACTATATGTTCTTTAGTTAACTAAGAATTCTTAATATGGAAATCTGACCGTGATTTATCCAGTCATATATCATGCTATTAGTAAATTTTAATTAATTTAATTAATTAATGAAACCAGTATAATTACCAGTTGAGCAGATATTTCATCCGATTGGTAGATAGTCTCAGGAACTTATTTGGATGTCTCTCTGCATGGAGGTGTGTAGGAATTTCTGAGTGTCCTAGAGTGTATATCTGTCGTAGGCCTCTCTGCATTTCTCCCGACTGCTCACTTCTTTGCATACCCTTGCATTCCTCGCCTACCTTCTTCTTCCCCCTCTGTCTTAACTTTTTAAAGGGAAAATTCACTAGTTGATAGACCAATAGGAACACTGGAGGTGTGTCCAATCTAGGGATCGCAATTTAGGTATTTGATCCATAGATGGCAGTCTCATCCCACTAAACATACCTTTCCAGGAAAGAGTTAACTTTTCCTGGTGGCTATTTTGACGTCATTTTGGCTTATCTATATGGTTGCCATAATTTAAGTTTTCTGTCAGATCAAACAGTTTCTTTAAGTTTTGTCCAGACTATGTGTCTAGCAAATTCTGCTATAATTTCTAATATGACAGTTATAACTAAGTTTTGACCCGTAACTTACAATGGGATCTTATAGAAAGTAAAATTTAATTATTTAATCTTTTCTGTCACAAATGTCTGGGTTTAGAATTGATTATATTCCATTAGCATTTACACAGTCTATCCAACCCCCGTTCTCCTTATCACTTGGTTTGTATATACTATGCATTCCTTTAGCTCTGGGAAAGTGATTAGTTTTACAGATAGAAATCTTGTGTCTTTTCTTAGCTTGAAAATAACAAAATGGAGTCTGCTCTGTTCAAAAGTGACTCACCATATACA